ATCAAGGGTTTGGAGAACAAGCCCTATGATGAGCGGGCATGTTTAGCCTGCAGAAGAGAAGGCTGAGAGGAGACATGATAGCCATGTATAAATATGTGAGGGAAAGTCATAGGGAGGAGAGAGAAAGTTTGTTTCCTGCTGCCCTGGAGACTAGGACAATGACTTCAAACTACAAGAGAGGAGATTCCATCTGAACACGAGGAAGAACTTCCTGACTGTGAGAGCCGTTCAGCAGTGGAACTCTCTGCCCCGGAGTGTGGTGGAGGCTCCTTCTTTGGAAGCTTTTAAACAGAGGCTGGATGGCCATCTGTCGGGGGTGATTTGAATGCAATTTTCCTGCTTCTTGGCAGAATGGGGTTGGACTGGATGGCCTTTGATGTCTCTTCCAAATCTTTGATTCTATGATTCTATGGGCAAGCTTCGATCTTATTGGCCCACTAGCCGTCCCCTGCCATGCATTGCTGTGGCCCAGTCTGATGATCTGGAAAATAAAGTAATTATTGGTTTCTAATATATGTGATTTCTTTATGTTTGTAGGTAAACAGTATTTCTTGTTTCTTTGTCAGTGTCGATGTGGAGATTGTCTGGTTTGCCTACTCTGGAACATGCAACATATAATTGTCCTTCTTTAAGGGTCCCTTTCAAATCTATGATACTATATCTCTCTGTGTGTGAATCATATTTATCTATCTATCTATCTCTATGGCTGGATGGCTCTTTGTCAGGAAGGCTTTGATTATGTTTTCTTGCCCTGGTGAAGGGAGTTGGACTCGATGGCCTTAAGTAATTTCTGTTGTTCATGGGGGTTCTGTGTGGGAAGTTTGCCCCAATTCTGTCGTTGGTGAAGTTCAGAATGCTCTTTGATTGTCAGTGAACTATACATCCCAGTAACTACAACTTCCAAATGTCAAGGTCTATTTTCCTCAAACTCCATCTGTGTTCATATTTGGGCATATGGTTTATTCGTGCCAAGTTTGGTCCAGATCTGTCATTGTTTGAGTCCACAGTGCTCTCTGGATGTAGGTGAACTACAATTCCCAAACTCAAGGTCAATGCCCACCAAACCCTTCCAGTATTTTCTGATGGTCATGGGAGTTCCGTGTGCCAAGTTTGGTTCAATTCCATCGTTGATGGAGTTCAGAATGCTCTTTGATTGTAGGTGAACTATAAATCCCAGCAAGTACAACTCCCAAATGTCGAGGTCTGTTTTCCTCAAACTCCACCAGTGTTCACATTTGGGCATACTGACTATTCGTGCCAAGTTTGGTCCAGGTCCATCATTGTTTGAGTCCACAGCGCTGTCTGAATTTAGGTGAACTACAATTCCCAAACTCAAGGTCAATGCCCACAAAACCCTTCCAGTATTTTCTGTTGGTCATGGGAGCGCTGTGTGCCAAAATTGGTTCAATTCCATCATTGGTGAAGTGCAGAATGCTCATTGATTGGAGGTGAACTACAAATCCCAGCAAGTACAACTCCCAAATGTCGAGGTCTGTTTTCCTCAAACTCCACCAGTGTTCACATTTGGGCATATGGAATATTCGTGCCAAGTTTGGTCCAGATCCATCATTGTTTGAGTCCACAGCGCTCTCTGGATGTAGGTGAACTACAGCTCTCAAACTCAAGGTCAATGGCCACCAAACCCTTCCAGTATTTTCTGATGCTCGTGGGAGTTCCGTGTGCCAAGTTTCGTTCAATTCCATCATTGGTGGAGTTCAGAATGCTCTTTGATTGTAGGTGAACTATAAATCCCAGTAACTACAACTCGCATATGTCAAGGTCTATTTTCCCCCATGAGCACCTCTAGGCAAGGTCAACTGTACTGCAAATGCTTATTTTGCATAATGGGTTGAGCCGCCCCTGCGTCCACGTTTACTTAAACCATTGTTTCTCAACCTGGGGGTCGGGACCCCTCGGGGGTCGCAAGGGGGTGTCATAGGGGTCACCAAAGACCATCAGGAGGCACAGCATTTTCGGTTGGTCATGGGGATTCTGTGTGGGAAGTTTGGCTCAATTCTTTGGTAGGGTTCAGAATGTTCTTTGATTGTAGGTGAACTATAAATCACAGCTACTACAACCCCCAAATGCCGAGGTCTATTTTCCCCCAAACTCGACCAGTGGTCATATGTGGGCATACTATTTGTGCCAAGTTTGATCCAGATCCATCATTGTTTGAGTCCACAGTGCTCTCTGGATGTAGGTGAACTACAATTTCCAAACGCAAGGTCAATGCCCACAAAACCCTTCCAGTATTTTCTTTTGGTCATGGGAGTTCTGTGTGCCAAAATTGGTTCAATTCCATCATTGGTGAAGTGCAGAAGGCTCATTGATTGTAGGTGAACTACAAATCCCAGCAAGTACAACTCCCAAATGTCGAGGTCTATTTTCCTCAAACTCCACCAGTGTTCACATTTGGGCATACTGACTATTTGTGCCAAGTTTGGTCCAGGTCCATCATTGTTTGAGTCCACAGTGCTCTCTGAATGTAGGTGAACTATAATTCCCAAACTCAAGGTCAATGCCCACAAAACCCTTCCAGTATTTTCTGTTGGTCATGGGAGCTCTGTGTGCCAAAATTGGTTCAATTCCATCATTGGTGAAGTGCAGAATGCTCATTGATTGGAGGTGAACTACAAATCCCAGCAAGTACAACTCCCAAATGTCGAGGTCTATTTTCCTCAAACTCCACATAATTATAGGTGAACTATAATTCCCAAACTCAAGGCATAGCTGATGTGTTGTTCCTCCTTCCCGAAGGGGTTGCATCAGGGGAAGTTGAAGGGAAATCACTTTCTGGCCCCCCTGCCCTCCCCATTGCTCTGAACACATGAGCACAAGCTGGGTCGTGGTGTATGTCAGGGGCCAACATGGAAAAGAGGAAGTGTTTCCGCATCTCTTTTCGTGCCTTTCCCCTGGTCTTCATCAGATCGACGTTCTGACATGAATGGAAGTCACCTATCCTCATAAATAAGCTTTTTGGGGGCTTCATTAAACCCAAGATTGCAACAACAAAGTTGGAACTGGTTGCTGTAATGTAAATACAGTTTGTAGACCTCTCAAACTGGGGTCTGGACCCCTGGGAGGGTCACCAAAGACCTTCAGAAAACACACATTTCTGATGGTCTTAAGAAGCCTTTTGGTGGAGAAGGCTGAATGTCTCTCTTCCTTTTTGTTGTTTGTGAACTACGACTCCCGGAATTCAAAAACAGCCCTCCCCCAACCCCCCAACAATGTTAGCCACGTAGGTAGTGTGCCAAGTTTGTTGCAGATCCATTCTGGGCTGGAATGCTCTTTGATTGTAAGTGAACTATAAATCCCAGGAACTACAACTCCCAAATGTCAAGGTCTATTTTCCCCAAACTCCACCAGTGTTCACTTTTCGCCATATTGAGTATTTGTGCCAAGTTTGGTCCAGATCCATCCTTGTTTGAGTTCACAGTAATCTCTGGATGTAGGTGAACTACAACTCCAAAACCAAAGGACACTGCCCACCAAACCCTTCCAGTAATCTCTGGATGTAGGTGAACTACAACTCCAGGTCAAGGTCAATGCCCGCAAGATCCAGTATTTTCTGTTGGTCATGGAAGTTCTGTATGCCAAGTTTGGTTCAATTCCATCATTGGTGGAGTTCAGAATGCTCTTTGATTGTAGGCAAACTATAAATCCCAGCAAGTACAACTTCCATATGTCTGGTGCAAAGTATTGTCAAAGGCTTTAATGGCTGGAATCACTGAGTTCTTGTAGGTTTTTCGGGCTATATGGCCATCACCTCTGTGGATGCTTGCCATAGATGCAGGCGAAACGTCAGGAGAAATGCCTCTAGAACATGGTCATATAGCCCGAAAAAATCCACAAGAAGTCTGGTGCAAAGTTTGGATCAGATCCATCATTGTTTGGGTCCACAGCACTCTCTTGATGTAGATGAACCACAACTCCAAACTCAAGGTCAATGCCCACCAAACCCTTCCAGTATTTTCTGTTGGTCATGGGAGTTCTGTATGCCAAGTTTGGTTCAATTCCATCATTGGCGGAGTTCAGAATGCTCTTTGATTGTAGGTGACCTATAAATCCCAGCAAGTACAACTCGCAAATGTCAAGGCCTATTTTCCCCAAACTCCACTTGTGTTCATATGTAGGCATATTGAGTATCTGTACCAAATTTGGTCAAGATCCATCCTTGTTTGAGTCCACAGTGCTCTCTGGATATAGGTGAACTACAACTCCCAAACTCAAGGTCAATGCGCACAAGACCCTTCCAGTATTTTCTGTTCGTCATGGAAGTTCTGTGTGCTAAGCTTGGTTCAATTCCATCGTTAGTGGAGTTCAGAATGCTCTTTGATTGTAGGCAAACTATAAATCCCAGCAAGTACAACTCCCAAATGTCAAGGTCTATTTTCCCCAAACTCCACCAGTGTTCACAATGCCCACGAGACCCTCCCAGTATTTTCTGTTGTTCATGGGAGTTCTTTGTGCCAAGTCTGGTTCAATTCCATCATTGGTGGAGTTCAGAATGCTCTTCGATCGGAGGCGAACTATAAATCCCTGCAACTACAACTCCCAAGTGACAAAATCAATCCCCCCACCAACCCCACCAGTATCCAAATTTGGGCGTATTGGATGTTTGTGAACGAAAATACATCCTGCAGATCGGATATTTCCATTACGATTAGAGTTCTGAAGTAGCAACCACAATAATGTTATGGTTGGGGGTCACCACCCATGAGGAACCGTATTCAGTGGTCACGGCGTTAGGAAGGTTATGTGTTTGTGTGTTTTTGGGGAGAGTATGCTCTTATGTGTATGCTCTTATGTGTGTATGTGAGAGAAGTAGAGAGGTGTTGGTCAGAAAAAGCCATAAAGTTCACAAGATAAAACCTTGCAAGTGCAACTTTGGCTCGCCGCCCGATCGGCGTGCTCCGCTTCCTGCCACATGCAAACACGAGGTTGCATACAGAGACTTCCACTTTTGAACAAGTGGCAGTTCCGTTGTATGTGTGCGCCTATGTGTCACCCGCAAGGGAGGAAGTTGATAAGCGGGGAGGAACGCCTAAACCCGGAGCAGAGGCGAGTGCCCTGTGGAAACGACCCAAGCGAAAAGGAAGCTGGGCTCACTTTCTGGTCCACATCCCCATCCAAGGAGGACTTTGGGTTGAAGGTACGTTGGGATGGCTCCTGCTTTCCTCCTGTGCTTTATGGGATGGAGGAGTTACTTCTCACTCTAGGGCAGGCCTCTAGCCTTTAGGATGTGGCTGGATTATAAGGTTTCCCTAGTCCGAGTGGTCCCTGGTCCGAGTGGTCCCTGGTCTGAGTGGTCCCTGGTCCAAGTGCTCCTTGGCCTGAGTGGTCCCTGATCTGAATGGTCCCTGGTCCGAGTGTCCCTGGTCTGAGTGGTCCCTGGTGCAAGTGGTTCCTGGTCTGAGTGGTCCCTGGTCCAAGTGGTCCCTGGTCCAAGTGTCCCTTGTCTGAGTGGTCCCTGGTGCAAGTGGTCCCTCATCTGAGTGGTCCCTGGTCTGAGTGGTCCCTGGTCCGAATGGTCCCCGGTCCGTGTGTCCCTGGTCTGAGTGGTCCCTGGTCCAAGTGTCCCTGGTCTGAGTGGTCCCTGGTGCAAGTGGTCCCTGGTCTGATTGGTCCCTGTTGCAAGTGGTCCTTGGTCTGAGTGGTCCCTGGTGCAAGTGGTCCCTGGTCCAAGTGCTCCTTGGTCTGAGTGGTCCCTGGTGCAAGTGTCCTCTGTCTGAGTGGTCCCTGGTGCAAGTGGTCCCTGATCTGAGTGGTCCCTGGTCCGAGTGTCCCTTGTCTGAGTGGTCCCTTGTGCAAGTGGTCCCTGATCTGAGTGGTCCCTTGTGCAAGTGGTCCCTGATCTGAGTGGTCCCTTGTGCAAGTGGTCCCTGATCTGAGTGGTCCCTGGTCCAAGTGTCCTTTGTCTGAGTGGTCCCTGGTGCAAGTGGTCCCTGATCTGAGTGGTCCCTGGTCTGAGTGGTCCCTGGTCCATGTGTCCCTGGTCTGAGTGTTCCCTTGTGCAAGTGGTCCCTGTTCTGAGTGGTCCCTTGTGCAAGTGGTCCCTGTTCTGAGTGGTTCCTGGTGCAAGTGTCCCTGGTCTGAGTGGTCCCTTGTGCAAGTGGTCCCTGATCTGAGTGGTCCCTGGTCCGAGTGGTCCCTGGTCTGTGTGTTCCTGGTCTGAGTGGTCCCTGGTCTGAGTGTCCCTGGTCTGGGTGGTCCCTGGTGCAAGTGGTCCCTTGTCTGAGTGGTCCCTTGTGCAAGTGGTCCCTGATCTGAGTGGTCCCTGGTGCAAGTGGTCCCTGATCTGAGTGGTCCCTGGTCTGAGTGGTCCCTGGTCCATGTGTCCCTGGTCTGAGTGGTCCCTTGTGCAAGTGGTCCCTGTTCTGAGTGGTTCCTGGTCCAAGTGGTCCCTGGTCCAAGTGTCCCTTGTCCAAGTGGTCCCTGGTGCAAGTGCTCCCTGGTCTGAGTGGTCCCTGGTCCAAGTGTCCCTGGTCTGAGTGGTCCCTTGTGCAAGTGGTCCCTGCTCTGAGTGGTCCCTGGTCCGAGTGGTCCCTGGTCTGTGTGTCCCTGGTCTGAGTGGTCCCTGGTCTGAGTGTCCCTGGTCTGGGTGGTCCCTGGTGCAAGTGGTCCCTGGTCTGAGTGGTCCCTGGTCTGAGTGCTCCTTGGTCTGAGTGGTCCCTGATCTGAATGGTCCCTGGTCCGAGTGTCCCTGGTCTGAGTGGTCCCTGGTGCAAGTGGTCCCTGGTCTGAGTGGTCCCTGGTCTGAGTGGTCCCTGGTCCAAGTGTCCCTGGTTTAAGTGGTCTGAGTGCTCCTTGGTCTGCGTGGTCCCTGATCTGAATGGTCCCTGGTCCGAGTGTTCCTGATCTGAGTGGTCCCTTGTGCAAGTGGTCCCTGATCTGAGTGGTCCCTGGTCTGAGTGGTCCCTGGTCCAAGTGTCCCTGGTTTAAGTGGTCTGAGTGGTCCCTGATCTGAATGGTCCCTGGTCAAAGTGGTCCTTGGTCAAAAAAAGGTTGGGAATCACTGCTCTAGAAAGTAAAGTCTTAGTAGGACAGTAAAGGTGTAACAGCAAAGGCAACGAAGACTATCAATATGACTGACCCGGGATGACTCATTTTCTTGTCTACCTTCAGATCCAATCAGAATTAATTCTACAAAGTAGAATTAATCATCCCCCGATTAGCATTGTAAGAGGGAGCCTTACACCTTGATTAGTGAATACTCTCCCAAAAAGGATTCACACATATTATCATTTTTGGCCCTGTTTGCAGTCAGCAGTGGGGTTTTTTTTTTCTATTATCAGGCACCACTTTGACCATGGGTTACTCTTCAACATTAGTACCAAAAAAAGGGTTACGAATCTGTTTTTGGTCAGCTTTAGATTTGGCTTGGTCATGTGGGGTGCTGGTTCCGAAAATTGCATTGGATAGACCACATCAGCATTGGATAGAAGCTCAACAGAGTCACTTCTTGGCCGTCTGCAAGGACGTTACCCAAGGGATGCCCAGATGTTTTGATGTTTTACCATCCTTGTGGGAGGCTTCTCTCATGTCCCTGCGTGGGGAGCTGGAGCTGACAGAGGGAGCTCATCCACACTCTCCCTGGTTTTGAACCTCTGACCGATCAGTCCAGGTTAAAATAAGACGCATGAAGCTGATTGATCAGGCAATGCCTGGGGAGATGGCTGAGCCTGAGACTTTTGAACACTGTTACGTTTTTGTTCAGGCTTGAGCTATGCAAGTCCAGAGAGAAGCAGTTTGAAGATAGACGCAGAGAGAGACATTTGGAGTGTGCTCTCACTTCATGAACTGCTGAAAGAATTTATCCACATGGACGAAAGAAAGACCATTTTAATAATAATAATAATAATAATAATAATAATAATAATAATTTATTTATATACTGCTCCATTTCTCCGAGGGGACTCAGAGCGGTTCCCAGGTAACATCACAAAACATACAAAGTAACATACAAAGTCGGCAGTGTCCGGGAGGGCTTTTGCACAATTGAGACTCGTGCGCCAGCTGCGACCGTACCACGCGAAGGCTGATCTGGCCTGGGTGGTCCATGCCTTGGTCACCTCCAGATTGGACTACTGCAATGTGCCCTTGAAAACGGCTCGGAAATTCCAACTGGTCCAATGGGCAGCAGCCAGGATGTTAACTGGGGCCCCTTACAGAGAGAGGTCAACCCTCCTGTTCAAGGAGCTCCACTGGCTGCCGTTTATTTTCCGAGCCCAATTAAAGGTGCAGGTGCTTACCTACAAAGCCCTGAACGGTTTGGGACCATCCTACCTGCGTGACGGCATCTCCGTCTATGAACCCACACGTTCACTGCCGAGGAGCCACCACTGAAAAGGCCCTATCTCTCATCCCCGCCAGCTGAGCCTGAGAAGCAGGCGGGATTGAGAGCAGGGTCTCCCCAGAAGATCTCAAAGTCCTGGTGGGTTCATAGGCAGAGATGCGGTCGGATAGGTAGCTTGGGCCAGAACCGTTTAGGGCTTTAAAGGCCAACGCCAGCACTTTGAATTGAGCCCGGGGGCCACCACTGAGAAGGCCATCTCTCTCGTCCCCACCAACCACGCTTGAGACGGTAGTGAGACCGAGAGGAGGGCCTCCCCGGAAGATCTTAGAGGTCGCGCCGGTTCATAGAAAGAGACGCGATTGCGGAAATAGGCGGGGCCCGAACCGTTTAGGGCTTTATAGGTCATGACCTGCACCTTGAATTTGGCTCGGCAACTTATCGGCAGCCAGTGAAGCTGTTTTAATAGGGGTGTTGTATGCTCCCTATAGTTTGCTCCAGTAAGGAGCCTGGCTGCCGCCCGTTGTACTAGTGTCCTATCTGGATTTCTGACTGTCAAAAGCATATTGTCCGCAAATAAGCTGATTTTTATTTTGTTGTCCATGTCCATTCCCTGTATCTCCTTTTCTTTAAAGGAAATAGTATGTGGAAGGTTTTGCGTGGAAGGCTAGGAGTGCATCTACAGCAGGCCTGGGGCAACTTGGACCCTCCAGGTGTTTTGGACTACAACTCCCACAATTCCTAACAACCCCAGGCCCCTTCCTTTCCCCCTCAGAAGCTTAAATGGCTGAGGGAGAAACTTCCAGGCCGTCTTCAAGGGCAGCCGCACATAGAGCGCATTGCAGTAGTCTAGTTTGGATGTAACCAAGGCATGGACCACCCTAGCCAAGTCAGACTTCACGAGGTATGGTCGCAGCTGGTGCACAAGTTTGAGTTGTGCAAAGGCCCTCCTGGTCACCGTTGACACCTGAGCATCAAGCGACAGCGTTGAGTCCAGGAGGACCCCCAAGCTACGGACCTGTGCCTTCAGGAGGAGTGTAACCCCATTGAGCACAGGTTGCCACCCAATACCCCGGTCTGCCCCGGGGTATTGGGTGGATTTCTGACTGTCAAAAGCATATCGTCCGCAAATAAGCTGATTTTGATTTTGTTGTCCATGCCCATTCCCAGTATCTCCTGACCAGGAGAACCTCTGTCTTGTCTGGATTAAGCTTCAACCTGTTAGCCCTCATCCAGTCCATCACAGCTGTCAGACACTGGTTCAAGGTCTGGGAGGCTTCCTTGGAATTCGGTGGAAATGAGTAATAGAGTTGGGTGTCATCTGCGTATAGATGGCACCCAACTCCAAAACTCTGGATAACCTCACCCAGCGGTTTCATGTAGATATTGAAAAGCATGGGGGATATAATGGAACCTTGTGGGACCCCACAGGTCAAAGGTCACGGGTCCGAGCAGGTATTTCCCAGCTTCATCAACTGGGAACGACCCTCCAGGAAGTCTCTCATAAAAGGACATGATGTGAGCTGATGCAACTGATCACATTGTGCATATGTTGTTCTGAACGACAAAGAGTAAACTACTTGTTCTTTGTTGTTCACCTGTGTGGAATATTTTCTTTCTCTGGCAAGGCAGTGTTTGAGCTGATCAAACGGGAACTACACGTGGTTTATTTTACATTACACCACAGGCTTGACGAGCCTTCCTCTTCCTCACGTTCCAGATGACGATGAAGAGGGAGACCGAAAGGCGCTTTGAGTCTCCTTTGTGGAGAGGAAAAGTAGGATATAAATAAACATAACAACGGCGGGTCAGCGCTGCTTGTGTTATTGGATCTCACAGCAGCATTTGACCCAGTCGACCACAATCCTTTGACCCACTGCCTTGCTGTTGCTGGAGTCAGGTGGACAGCTTTAAACTGGCTGTCCTCCTTTCTTCACAACCGTGGACAGCGAGTGGAGAGGGGAGGCCTCTCTCTGAGAGGTCCCCTCTATCTTGTGGGGTTCCTCAGGGGGCCATTCTCTCCCCTCTGTTGTTTAACATCTATATGCGACCACTTGCCCAGCTGGTTCGAGGTTTTGGGCTTGAGTGTTACCAGTACGCCGATGACACTCAGCTGGTGCTGAAGATGGAAGGCTGAACGGACTCTGTACCCGATCATTTCCATCAGTGCCTCAAGGCCGTTACTGGATGGTTGCGTGCCAGCAGGTTGAGGGTGAATCCAGGAAAGACGGAGATCCTATGGCTGGGTCGACCGGGCAGTGGGGACATCCAGCTGCCTACCCTGGATGGCGAGGCGCTATGCCCATAATTGTTGGTAGAGTCTGGGAGTCCTTTTGGATACTCTGCTGAGGATGGAGGCCCAGGTCTCCGCCTTTAGCAGAACCGCCTTTTTTCACCTGCGGCAGGCTAGACGGCTGGCCCCCTCCCTGTCCAGGGATGACCTAGCTACAGTGATCCAGGCTACGGTCATCTCAAGACTGGACTACTGTAACGCCCTCTACATTGGCCTTCCTCTGTCGGTGATCCGGAAGCTCAAGTTGGTACAAAACGCAGCTGCTCGGCTTCTTGCAGGAATTCCGATGAGATACCACATAACACCAATCTTACTGCAGCTGCATTGGTTACCAATTGAGCACCGGATCACTTTCAAAGGGATGGTACTCACCTTGAAGGCCTTGCATGGTTTGGGGCCGATGTACCTGAGGGACCGCCTCACCCCCTACCAACCCCAGAGATCCCTCCGTTCTGAGGACCAAAATCTATTGGAAATTCCTAGTGTCAAGACCTTGTGTCTAACAGCAACCAGGGGCAGAGCCTTTACAGCAGTGGCACCATCGCTCTGGAATGCTCTGCCACCTGAAGTCCATGCCTTGCGGGACTTGTCAGCTTTCTGTGGGGCATGTAAGACATACCTGTTTCGACAGGCTTTTGATTGTTGATATTGCTGTTTTTAAATTGTTTTAAATTGTGTTAGATTTTAGCCTGTTCTTGTAAGCCGCTCCGAGCCCCAGGGGCGTGGCGGCATATAAGTTCGAACAATAAATAAATAAACAAACAACAACAACAACAACTCTTTGGTCTCCCTAGGGCTCATCATGGCCGGTCTGAAAACGGCGACTGGGGAATACATTGACGACTCTTGGGAGCTCAATGCCTTTGTGGAAGACTTGGGGCCAGATGCCGATCCGGTCACACTCCGGGTCTCGGGCAGCATGCATATCGGAGGCGTCATGCTCCAGATCGTGGATAAGTTAAGTAAGTCTGCCAAGGTCTTTCCCACGATTGCTTTTCCTTGTTCACACAGAGCTTGAAAGAAGCCATTGCGCTCTGCAAGGTTGTGGGGATCCCGGTCTGTCCAAAGTTTATTTATTTATTACTTCTTTATTTCGGTTACTTCTACCCCGCCCTTCTCACCCCGAAGGGGACTCAGGGCGGTTTAGGTAAAGGTAGTCCCCTGACATTAAGTCCAGTCATGTCTGACTCTGGGGTGTGGTGCTCATCTCCATTTCTAAGCCGAAGAGCCAGCGTTGTCCGTAGACACCTCCAAGATCATGTGGCCGGCATGACTGCATGGAGCGCCGTTACCTTCCCGCCGGAGCGGTACCTATTGATCTACTCACATTTGCATGTTTTCGAACTGCTAGATTGGCAGAAGCAGGGGCTGACAGGAGAAGCTCATGCCGTTCCCTGGAATCGAACCTGCAACCTTTCAGTCAACAACTCAGCAGCTCAGTGCTTCTGTGTCCTGGAAACCCCGGAGGGGACTCAGGGCAGCTTACAAAGGCACAATTCGATGCCGGCATCACATAACAGTAGTAAAACAATATAGCAGCAATTAACAGTTAAACAACAGTTCCTGCATTACAGCAATAAAACCAATAAAACCAATACAAACCCATTACTCCTCATTAACGGTCAGCGTTCGCCATCTCATAGTCCAATTTCCAATTCCACTTTGTCAGTCCTGTCAGTCCTAGTCGTCTGATTGTCCTTATCTAGTTGTCAGATTGCCCAAAGGCCTGGTCCCACAACCACGTCTTTACTTTCCTCCTGAAGGAGAGGAGGGATGTTGATGCCCTAATTTCCCCCGGGAGTGAGTTCCACAGGTGAGGGGCCACCACTGAGAAGGCCCTGCTCCTCGTCCCCACCAACCTCACTTGTGATAGCGGTGGGGTCGAGAGCAGGGCCTCCCCAGTGATCTCAAACTCCGGGGTGGGACGTAGAGGGAGATGCGTTCGGACAGATACACTGGACTGGAACCAGCACCTTGATCTCAAACTCCGGGGTGGGCCGTAGAGGGAGATGCGTTCGGACAGATACACTGGACTGGAACCAGCACCTTGATCTCAAACTCCGGGGTGGGACGTAGAGCTAGATGCGGAACCAGCACCTTGATCTCAAACTCCAGGGTGGGACGTAGAGGGAGATGCGTTCGGACAGATACACTGGACTGGAACCAGCACCTTGATCTCAAACTCCGGGGTGGGACGTAGAGGGAGATGCGTTCGGACAGATACACTGGACTGGAACCAGCACCTTGATCTCAAACTCCGGGGTGGGCCGTAGAGGGAGATGCGTTCGGACAGATACACTGGACTGGAACCAGCACCTTGATCTCAAACTCCGGGGTGGGACGTAGAGCTAGATGCGGAACCAGCACCTTGATCTCAAACTCCAGGGTGGGACGTAGAGGGAGATGCGTTCGGACAGATACACTGGACTGGAACCAGCACCTTGATCTCAAACTCCGGGGTGGGCCGTAGAGGGAGATGCGTTCGGACAGATACACTGGACTGGAACCAGCACCTTGATCTCAAACTCCGGGGTGGGACGTAGAGGGAGATGCGTTCGGACAGATACACTGGACTGGAACCAGCACCTTGATCTCAAACTCCGGGGAGAGCAGGGCCTCCCCAGCTGATCTCAAACTCCGGGGTGGGACGTAGAGGGAGATACGTTCGGACAGATACACTGGACCGGAACCGTACAGGGTTTTGTAGGTCAAAACCAGCACCTTGAATTGTGCTCGGAACTGAACCGGCAGCCAGTGGAGCTGACACAGCAGGGGGGTAGTGTGCTCCCTGTATGACGCTCCGGTGAGTAATCTGGCTGCCGCTTGCTGGACCAGTTGAAGTTTCCGAACAGTCTTCAAGGGCAACCCCACATAGAGTGCGTTGCAGTAGTCTATTTGGGATGTAACAAGAGCGTGGACCACTGTGGCCAGATCAGACTTCCCAAGGTACGGGCACAACTGGCGCACAAGTTTTAATTGTGCAAAAGCTCTCCCGACCTAAGGTTCCGGGCTCAACGATGAGTCTAGGATATCTCCCAAGCTGCAAACCTGTGTCTTCAGGGGGAGTATAACCCCGTCCAGCAAAGGCTGTAACCCTAAGTTGTGTTTGGTCTTGTGACTGACCAGTAGGACCTCTGTCTTGTCTGGATTCAGTTTCAATTTGTTAGCTCTCATCCAGTCCGACACAGCAGCTAGACACCAGTTCAAGGTCTGGACAGCCTCCTTGGTGACAGGTGAGAAGAAGTGACAGATCTGGACATCATCTGCGTAGAGATAACACCTCAGTCCGAAACTCCGAATGATCTCCCCAGCTTTGTCATGTGACATTATTAACCGTGGTAATTAAGAACCAATAATAGTAATTAACAATGAATTCAAAAATGTAGATTGATCTCATCTAGTGTCCTATCTGGATTTCTTACTGTCAAAAGCATATCGTCCGCAAATAAGCTGATTTTGATTTTGTTGTCCATGCCCACTTCCTGTATCTCCTTATTGTTAAAAGAAATAGTATGTGGAAGGTTTTGTGTGGAAGGCTAGGAGTGCATCTACAGCAGGCCTGGGGCAACTTGGACCCTCCAGGTGTTTTGGACTACAACTCCCACAATTCCTAACAACCCCAGGCCCCTTCCTTTCTCCCTCAGAAGAGGGGGGAAAGGAAAGAGGCTGAGGCTGTTACAAATTGTGGGAGTTGTAGTCCAAAACACCTGGAGGGCCCAAATTCACTCATACCTGCTGTAGATGCACCCCAGGAGTGACTAGCTTGGCTTGGCTACGGGCCTGGTTGTCAGCCAGGAGAGAGGGATTACTATAATCCCCAGTTATGACATGGCTTGGAGGTCGGTGGCTAATCGGAGTGCTGCCAGAAATCCACCAAGGGAAGGGGTTGACCACAACGCCTTAGCTGAGTCACTCTGCTCCATTCACACAGTCAGATGGACGAGTCAGATGGACACAGGCGTTTCCTGGACCCGTCCCTCTGCTTTCCTTCCTGGAATGCCGCAGGGTTCCCTCCTTGGCCCGGTCCTGTTCAGGATCTTTATTAATGATTTAGGTGAAGGGCGAAAAGGCAGGATCATCAAGTTTGCAGACGACACCAAATTGGGAGGGAGAGCTAAGACTCCAGAGGACAGGAGCAGGATTCACAGATTAGAGAGATGATTGGCCAAAACTAGCAAAATGAAGTTCAACAGGGACAAAGGCAAGATACTCCACTTAGGCAGAAAAAAAGGAAATGCAAAGAGACAGAATGGGGGACAATGCCTGGCTCGAGAGCAGGACGTGTGAAAAAGATCTTGGAGTCCTCGTGGACAGCAAGTTAAACATGAGCCAACAATGTGATGCGGCGGCAAAAAAAGCCAATAGGATTTTGGCCTGCATCAAGAGGAGCATAGTGTCTAGATCTAGGAAAGTCATGCTCCCCATGCTCTATTCTGCCTTGGTTAGACCACACCTGGAATATTGTGTCCTATTCTGGGCACCACAATTCAAGAGAGATATTGACAAGCTGGAATGTGTCCAGAGGAGGGCGACTCAAAGGATCAAGAGTCTGGGGAACAAGCCCTATGAGGAGAAGCAGAAAACAAGCTTGCTCCCTCCTCCCTGTGGCTTCCTCTCACATATTTATACATGGCTATCATATCTCCTCTTAGCCTTCTCTTCTTCAGGCTAAACATGCCCAGCTCCTTAAGCCACTCCTCATAGGGCTTGTTCTCCAGACCCTTGATCATTTTAGTCGCCCTCCTCTGGGCACATTCCAGCTTGTCAATATCTCTCTTCAATTGTGGTGCCCAGCCTTGTGGACCTTTTCCCTACAGGTGTTGGCTATTTGTTTGAATTCTTCTTTGGTGATTTTGCCCTTTTTCCACTTCTTGTGCATGTCTCTTTTGTGTTTTAGCACAGTTAGAAGTTCTTTGGACATCCATTCTGGCTTCTTTGCACTTGTCCTATTTTTTCTCTTTGTTAGCACAGTTTGCAATTGTGCCTTGAGTATTTCATTCTTGAGAAATTCCCATCCATCTGTAACTCCTGACTGTGTGAGCCATTCAGCAGTGGAACTCTCTGCCCAGGAGTGTTGTTGAGGCTCCTTCTTTGGAAGCTTTTAAACAGATGCTGGATGGCCATCTGTCGGGGGTGCTTTGAATGCAATATTCCTGCTTCTTGCCGAATGGGGTTGGACTGGATGGCCCATGAAGTCTCTTCCAACTCTATGAGTCTATGATTCTATGAAATCAATTTTTTTTTAGTGGAGGACATACATTGGGTTCTTAGGTGTCTTGTGTCCAAATTTGGTGTCAATTCATCCAGTGGTTATTGAGTTCTGTTAATCCCACAAACAAACATTACATTTTTATTTATATAGATTTTAAATCTTTAAATCTTGACCATATTCAGGTGATGCTTGGCCACATACATCTCAGTTTTCACCGGTGGAAGATATGCCACCCTGTGTTTCTTCCTCCTTTCCTCCAGATCTCCAGAGGGACTGGTCAGACCATGCCTTGTGGTGGGAACAGAAGAAGCTGTGGCTGCTGAAGACAAACTGGAGCCTGGATAAATATGGGATTTTGGCCGATGCCAAACTCCGCTTCACTTCGCAACACAAACCGGTGCTTCTTTCGCTACCAAACCGATGCACTGTCCGTGTCCGGGCTAACTTTGCCCAACCTGTCTTCCGCACCGTTGCCGATATTTGCAAGGTGCTTGGTGAGTAAACATCCAAACTGAAGGAATATATGTTTGTTATTGACTTATACTCCAATTACAAGCGACATACCCTAGGTAATTTTCAACGGTAAGCAAACAGTATTTTGGCGCCCCCCCCCCCAACCAATCATTGATATATATTTTCTGTTTGTCATGGGAGTTCTGTGTGCCATATTTGGTTCAATTCCATCATTGGTGGAGTTCAGAATGCTCTTTGATTGTAGGTGAACTATACATCCCAGTAACTACACTTGCCGCACTTGCTCCCTTGCCTGGCCAGCTTTGGGTCCGGAGGCGTGCCTGAAGACCCCGGCGTGTGCACCAAAAGTCACCTCTTCTCCTGACTTTCTCCTCAGCCATTTGGACCGAGAGAGAAGAGAGAGAGAGAGAGAGGTGGAGATGCCCACCTTTCCTGAAGGTAGGCGCAAAAACAAAGGAGGGAGCGGAGGTGGGAGATACCTCCAGCCGGAGGGGCTCTCTCTCTCTCTCTCTCTCTCTCTTGGTCCCAATGGCTAAAGAGAAAGTCAGGAGAAGAGGCGACTTTTGGTGCGCACGCTGGGGTCTTCAGACACGCCTCCAGACCCGAAGCGGGCCAGGCGTGGCGGCTCCGCCCCTTGGCCCACCCGCGGATTGGGGAGAGGAGAGGAGGCGGGTGGAGCGCCGGGGGATCGGGAAAGGGAGCCGGTCATGGGGAGGGGATCGAACGTGGAGAACGATTGAGCGCTGGCTCTGCTTGCGCACCCGGTGGCCGGGTGGAGCAGGAACGAGAGGGGCTAGGCGAGCTCAAGGGCCCGGCCCCTTTGGGAAGAGGATCGCCCGGCAGCGAGGCAAGAAAGCCGAGGCTCCCCCCGGACTGCTAGGGCTGTTGTGCGCTGAGGGGGCGCTCCTCAAGTGGCGGTCGAGGGGCATTTACAGAGGCGCCTCTGCGCCCCTGGCAAAAAAAAGTGTTCTGCGACCGCTTACTTTGCGTAATGGATGAGCCGCCCCTGTATATACTCCAATGACAGAACGTTGAGGCGAGCAGTAGTGTGGGATTGTATACCCACTGCGCCACTGGGGGCTCATAGGTGGACAGTCAGCTGGGCTGAAGGTTGGGTGCTCACCCCAACCCGGGCTTCGAACTGCCAACACTTCGATTGATAAGATCTATTGCTGCTGGTGATTAACATGGAAGTCAGATTGCTCTTTTAAGATAGGACTACTTAAGATAGGATACTGGTGGATACTGCCACGGAAATCCTGCCACGGGTAAATATAGCTCTCCTTGGACTCTCCTTTCACAGGTATCCGCCATTACGAAGAGCTATCATTGCTATGGCCTCCTGAACAGAAGGACAAGCGGAAGCAGAAGGAAAAGGAGGGGAGCCAGGCAGAAAGCTATGACTTGACTGGAGTTCGGCTGCCAGCAAGTGAGTTAACAGGGGCATTCAGGAATATGGAAAGATAGTGGGTTGCTATGAGTTTTCCGGGTTGTCTGGCCATGTTCCGGAAGCATTCTCTCCTGACGTTTTGCTCACATCTATGGCAGGCATCCTCAGGGGTTGTGAGATCTGTTGAAAATTAGGCAAGTGGGGTTTTATATATATCTGTGGAATATATATATCCGGGATTGTGGCGCAGCTGGCTGAGTGTCAGCTGCATTAAGATCACTCTGACCAAAAAGGTCATGAGTTCGAAGCCAGCCCAGGTTGGAGTGGGTTTCCAACCAATTGTGTGTAGCCTGTTGTCGACCCTTGCAACCCGAAAGACAGTTGTATCTGTCAAATAGGAAAATTAGGTACCACCTTAAAGTGTGGGGAGGCTAAATTAACTGATTTATGAGGCCATAAAGAAGACTCCAGCAAAACATTCCAGCAGGGAAGCATGCGGGGAATGCGGAAGTGCTTCATCAGCGTCGCAGATTGTCGAGGAAAGCGACAGCTACCCTTGCAGCCAGAAAAAAATTAAATAGCTTCTGTATATGTTTGTATGTCAAAAATTGGCATTGAATGTTTGCCATATATGTGTACACTGTAAATAATAAATAAATAAATAATAAATGTCCAGAGTGAGAGAAAGAACTCTGATCTATCTGAATGTTGCAATTGGTTGCCTTGATTAGCATTTAATTGCCTTACTTAGCTGCTTCCTGCCTGGTGGAATCCTTGGATCAGAAAATGGGAATTCCAGACAGGAAACAATCAGGGCCAGCTAACACCTTATTTGTTTGTTTGTTTGTTTGTTTACAGTATATATATTCCGCCCTTCTCATCCCGCAAGGGACTCAGAGCGGATTAAAATGTACATATACATGGCAAACCGTCCATGCCATAGTCACACAACATATATAGACTGACACACAGAGGCACTTTAACATTCCAGCTTTTTCTTGAGGGTATTCTGGCCACCAGGGGAGCTGTCCCTTTGTGGCACTGATGAAGTACTTCCTCATTCTTTGCATGCTTGCTGGAGATTTTTATGGCCTCGTAAATTAGTTAAATTTACCTCCCCGCATAAGCGGTACCTAAATTTCCTACTTGACAGATGCAACTGTCGTTCGGGCTGCAAAGGTCAACAGCAAGCTACACAAAACTGGTCGGAAGCTCACTCCGACCTGGCCCGTCTTCGAACTTATGACCTTTTGGTCAGTAGTGATCTTAATGCAATTAAATCCCTCCTCAGACTTGCTGTCTGCTCATCATTTCACATTGCACACTTGTGCCTCATGCAGAGGAGATGTCTCTCTCCAGGAAATCTTGACCTGGGAGTAATCCGTTGTGCAACTTGCGGCAAACTATAAATCGTCCAGCTGCAAGAAGGCAGGTTCAATGTACTAGCCTTTGCCAGAGCCCTGACCCTTCCTCCTTTTTCTTCTGAGGCCAGGTGCAGAACAGCAGCTCTTTCGAGGTATGCCTGCTCACTTCTCGGACAGTGCCAACACAGAGGCCTGCTACCGGATGCTGTCGGTCAGCCAGACTGGGATCACCCCTGAGCAGATCATGCGGATGCACCGGCCAGGATCCCTCACTGAGAAGACACAGATCAACAGCAGGTGAGGATGACATCCACCAAGAGGCGCAGCGGGTTAAACTCCTGTGCCGGCAGGACTGAAGACCGACAGGTCGCAGGTTCCAATCCGGGGAGAGCACGGATGAGCTCCTTCTATCAGCTCCAGCTCCTCATGCGGGGACATGAGAGAAGCCTCCCACAAGGATAGTAAAAACATCAAAAACATCTGGGCGGCCCCTGGGCAATGTCCTTGCAGACGGCCAATTCTCTCACACCAGAAGCGACTTGCAGTTTCTCAAGTCACTCCTGACACGACAAAAAAGCAGAGTTTAGAGCTTCTGTGCCGTCACGCCTGGGGGCTATAACTCTTAGTGAAAGAGGCATGGACATGACATCTTTCCCCCAGGAGATTGCTTCTTGCCCTCCTTTAGGAAACTGGAACTCCCAAAGACCAAAACACTGTAGATAACTCAAAATAAGTTTTATTGTTCACAAAGAGTTATCTCTTTAAGGCAATAAGCTGGAAGTTTCAAAGGGGTGAAGGAAAATGTACATTACAGTCTCTGGTTGTCTTGGGTCCCTCTTTCTCAATGGCTGTGAATGCCAGAGCAATCCACAACCCCAGTCCAAATGGCCTATATTTGAAGACACAGAGTCTTCCTTTGGTGCCAAAAGAACTTGTTTGAAGGCGCTTGAGACTTCCCAACTTCGTTCAGGTTGATCTGAACATGAAACATAAATCTCAAGGGTAAGAACCTCAGAATTGGTGCTGAGAGGTAACTTAATCAGGGGCTTTTAGAGTCAAGTCTCTAACTCACATCCATCTGGTAGAAAATCTGATGGTGGAATGAAAAAGGGAAGCACTCCCCTCCTCCAGGAAGAGGTGGAGCCAAACAACTGAGCTGAGCCTTGATGATTTAGACAAGGCTCTTGCCAGTCTGGAGGTCAAGCTTGAAGGATCCTCCTCGACACCCAATGTTCTGGTAAGTACCTTATTATTATTCAACTGATTCAACTGATTCAAACAACATTGATTGACAGCTATAAATAACCAATCAATCCAACTATACATAGGCAGGGTAAAAAGGCAGGATTAAGCACGATACAACAGTTTAAATCTTGCAACTAACAGTTTTACATATAGGTGGCGCCACTCGCGCAGTCACAGCTTCAAATAGTTACGCTCAGGACTGCAACTGCCTGAAGCCACTGAGCAACATGGCAATTGCATTCCAAAAACTAGTAAGTCTTGAACAGGAGTACATGAACAGGAACATAAAAAACTTCCAGGATATATTAAATCCAAAATCAAAGCTTGACTTGAACCAGGAAAAAGAGAACTCAGGCTTAGCTTCTCACATTAACGTAGCGTTGCCTGAACTGACCTTAAGGTAAACAATCTGTTGTTTGATAGGCACCCATTAAATCATTTCGTTTCCTGTGAATTTCCTTCCCAACTTTCCCATGTAGTCTCTCTGAATGACGCAATCTATTTTTGGCTCTGATTTGTAAACAAAGACTTTTGTTGATCTCCATTGCTGCAGATGGGTTCTCATGGGAACCTTCCTTATTACTTAGCTCTTCACTCGATTCCTTATCTGCCATTGCTACTTCTGGCTTCCTTCCCCATGTAATCTCTCTGAACAACACAATGTTTTTTTGGCTCTGATTTGTAAACAAAGACTTTTGATCTCCATAGGTGCAGGTTGGTTCTCATGGGAACCTTCCTTATTACTTAGCTCTTCACTCGATTCCTTATCTGTCGTTGCTACTTCTGGCTCCCTTTCCCATGTAATCTCTCTGAACAACACAATGTTTTTTTGGCTCTGATTTGCAAACAAAGACTTTTGTTGATCTCCATAGCTGCAGGTGGGTTCTCATGGGAACCTTCCTTGTTACTTAGCTCTTCACTCGATTCCTTATCTGCTGTTGCTACTTCTGGCTCCCTTGAGGCCCTGCACTTTCCAAGCTGGATTTCTCACAGATAGATTTTCCTCCTTTCTCCTTCTCTCAGGTGGCTGGATTCATCACGGACTTTGCTGCAACAGGAAGTCAAGGAGAATGACTGCTTATGGCTACGCTTCAAGTATTACTGTTTCTTTGACTTGGAGCCTAAGGTGAGCATTCCTCTTGAAGCCTTTTTTCAACTCTGGAGGGAAAAACCCTTTTCTACCTCCCTTTAAGAACGGCAGCTGAACAACTGCTCAAAAACCCTTCTGCAGATCTCGGTTCTAGTTCTCCAGAATAATCACAGGATGTCTTAAACCTACACCTGTTGATAAACTCTACAAGCCAGCTGGCATTGCCCCCCCCCCCCCCCCGGATGTGCGATGAGAAGGCATTGAATGTTTGCTGTATATATGTTCTGTGATCCACTTCTGGTTCCCTTCGGAGTGAGAAGGGCGGAATATAAATACTGTAAATAAATAAGAAGGGAGTGCAGAAATATAATAAGTTCAGAGCAGAGGTAAGGTTCAAACCTGGTGTGAATAGCGGGACCTTCCCCTTCTTTTCTCGCAGTATGACACGGTGCGGATCAACCAGCTCTACGAACAGGCCCGTTGGTCTGTGCTGCTGGAGGAGACGGAGTGCACCGAGGAAGAGATGGTGGTATTTGCTGCTCTGCAGGTAGTGTTTCTTTGCTCACCCAAATCCAGCGACAGAATGCATGGGTCTTGGTGAGGATCTATTGTTGTGTTCCTTTTCTAAGTCAGGCCATGCTCATTGGGGATGCTGGAAGCTATGGTCCAACACAGGTGAAGGAGAAGTGTTGTTGAGTTTCTTTTAGCTTTAGAACTATGCACAGGGTTTTGTCTTCCATGCCCAAAGCTAAATCACACATTCCTTTTGTGGCTTTGTCGTAGTATCGCATCAACCAGCTGTCCTTGAATGCCAGTCCACCAGAGCACTCTGGTGACTCGGGCCTTGATGATTTAGACAAGGCTCTTGCCAGTCTGGAGGTCAAGCTTGAAGGATCCTCCTCGACACCCAATGTTCTGGTAAGTACCTTATTATTATTATTATTATTATTATTATTATTATTTTGCTTATCTCTGTAACATCAAGAGATTCCCTTGAGGGGTTTCTGTTTCACTTAATTCTTCTTCACTCGACCCCTTATCTAATGATGATGTTTCTGGCTCCTGTGATTGTCCTTGAAGCTCGACACTGTCTGAGTCAATTTCATTTTCCTGGCACTTTGAATCCCAGGAAATCCCACAATTCCTTCTGAATAATCAGTGAACCCATCAGTCCCTGGCTGCTGAGCTACAACAGTGTATAGCCTGGTGTTTTCTCTTTGGTTTGTGTAGCTGTTGCTTTGATTTTTAAAATTCCCATCTTAAATGACTGCTTGAAATCATTTTTTTTAAAGTCACAAATGTCTTGGGAACCTTATACCTGCCTACAAGGAGAGTGAATATTTGTCTTGTTTGTCCTATAGGAAAGTCTCACAGCTATCCCTGAGCTGAAGGATAACCTCCGAATATTCAGGTGACGTCCTACAATCCATTTCATGGGAACGTGATTCTTGAGGAAACATTTTCATATGGACTGAAATAATTTCTTTTCATTCGCTGCAGTTGCTCTACTCATTTTACGAGCACTTTTGCAATGTATTGTCAAAGGCTTTCATGGCCGGAATCACTGGGTTGTTGTAGGTTTTTTCGGGCTATATGGCCATGTTCTAGAGGCATTCTCTCCTGACGTTTCGCCTGCATCTATGGCAAGCATCCTCAGAGGTAGTGAGGTCACCTCACTACCTCTGAGGATGCTTGCCATAGATGCAGGCGAAACGTCAGGAGAGAATGCCTCTAGAACATGGCCATATAGCCCCAAAAAACCTACAACAACCCACTTTTGCAATGTTGTTCTCCTATATTTTCCCACAGCAATCTTTTGGGGTGTGAGCAGCATGCAGTGCCTTCATCGAGAAGGGCTGGTCCCCTAAGGACACTGTACACCAGTTCAAGGGAGATTCTGCCTTGCTTTCCTTAGGTTACAATGGGAATAATGTATTTATTATAGCCCGGAAAAACCTACAACAACCCAATTTATTTATTTATCATGTCAGGAGCAAGCCAAACAGCTGTATTGCATTTTTTTAACAAACAAACAAACAAAACACAAAGTTTGCAAGCTTGGTAGTTGATTAAATGTCCTTTGACCAGTATCTGGCCACTTGGAGTGCCTCTGGTGTTGCCGCAAGAAGGTCCTCCATTGTGCATGTAGCAGGGCTCAGTTTGCATCGCAGCAGGAGATCTGTAGTTTGCTCTTCTCCAGGATTCCACTTTGTAGCCCCGTTTCTGAAGGTTGGCTCTGCATCTCGTGGTGCCAGAGTGCAGTCTGTTCAGCACCTTCCAAGTCACCCAGTTTTCTGTGTGCCCAGGGGGGAGTCTCTAATTGGGTAACAGCCATTGATTGAGGTTCTGGATTTGAGACTGCCACTTTTGGACTCTTGCTTGCTGAGGTGTTCCAGCGAGTGTCTCTGTAGATCTTAGAAAACTATTTCTTGCTTGAAGTCGTTGACGAGCTGGCTGATACCCAAACAAGGGATGAGCTGGGGATGTCTCTGTCTTGGTCCTTTCACTATTGGTTGCTACTTCCCGGCGGATGTCAGGTGGTGTAATTTCTCCAGTGGTGTAGGGCGCAGACACCCCATGATAATGTGACATGTCTCATTAAGAGTCACATCCTAATGTGGTGAGATGTGTTCCATACTGGGCATGCATACTCAGTAGCAGAGGGAATAATGCCCAATGGTGAGAGCAAGGTGCTGCTGCACTTGTCTTCCCATTGAGGCCCAAAGCCATGTTATCCATCTGCCCTGACAGGCCTCGCAAACTGACCCTGAAGGGCTACAAGCAGTACTGGGTGGTCTTCAAAGAGACCTCCATCTCCTACTACAAGAGCCGCGAGGAAGCACTGGGAGAACCCATTCAGCAGCTCAACCTCAAGGGTACGTCCAGAAGCTCCACTTCTAGTCCTGATTGAGCCTCGGAAGTAACCCATTGGTCTTGGGGTGGCCTTAGGGCAGTATTTCTCAACCTGGGGGTCGGGACCCCTGGGGGGTGCAAGGGGGTGTCAGAGGGGTCGCCAAAGACCATCCAGAAAACACAGTATTTTCTCTTGGACATGGATGTTCTGTGTGGGAAGTGTGGCCCAATTCAATTGTTGGTAGGGTTCACAATGCTCTTTGATTGTAGGTGAACTATAAATCCCAGCATCTACAACTCCCAAATGCCAAGGTCTGTTTTCCCCAAACTCCATCAGTGTTCACATTTGGGCATATTGAGAATTCATGCCAAGTTTGGTCCAGATCCATCATTGTTGGAATCCACAGTGCTCTCTGGATGTAGGTGAATTAGAACTCCAAAACTCAAGGTCAATGTTGGCCAAACCCTTCCAGTATTTTCTGTTGGTCATGAGAGTTCTGTGTGCTAAGTCTGACTCAATTCCATTGTTGGTGGAGTTCAGAATGCTCTTTGATTGTAGGTGAACTATAAACCCCAGCAACTACAACACCCACAGGACAAAATTAATACCCTCCCCCAATCACACCAGTATCCAAATTTGAGCGTTTGGGTATTTGTGCCAAATTTGGTCTAGTGAATGAAAATACATCCTGCATATCAGAAATTTACATTACTATTCATAACAGCAGCAAAATGAGTTATGAAGTAGCAACAAAACTAATTTTATGGTTGGGGGTCACCATAACATGAGGAAGTGTATTAAGGGGTCGTGGCATTAGGAAGGTTGAGAACCACTGCCTTAGGGCATTACTGTGGCCAGGATAAAGCACTCACCTACTTCACAGTAAATCACTATGTGTTGTGACCCGTTTCTGTCCCACTCCAGGCTGCGAAGTGGTACCAGATGTCAATGTCTCTGGCCAGAAATTCTGCATCAAGCTCTTGGTGCCTTCTCCAGACGGGATGAGCGAAGTGCACCTGCGTTGTGCGGACGTGAGTTGAAGAGGGAAGAAAACCATCTTGGGTTTTGAATCGTGGAATTGGGTTGGGTCTTCTAAAGGTCATCTAGTCCATAGCCTGTTTGTGGACTAGAAGACCTCTAGGACACCTATTTCCTTTTATGAACCTAAACGATCCCTTCGATCTTCCAGAGAGGCCCTTCTCTCGCTCCCGCCCCCTTTGCAAATGTGACTTGTGGGGACGAGGGAGAGGGCCTTCTTTGTGGTGGCCCCTCGGCTCTGGAACCCGCTCCCCAAAGACATTAGGCAAGCCCCCAGCCATGCCCACTGTGATCAACTTTCTGTGTTCAACTATTGTGATTTTATATAATAATAATAATAATAATCATCATCATCATCATCATCATCATCATTATCTTTATTTATACCCCTCTGGGGACTCGGGGCAGCTTACATGAGGCCAAGCCCTACAACACTATACAATAAAAAAGTCACAAACAAACAATCGCATAGTAAATTACATAAAACATAAAAATACAGCATACAATATAAAATTAAAATAAAATCATTCATAACACAGGAAGTTTTTTGGTAAGTTTTATTATTATTTACTAGCTGTACCCTGCCACACGTTGCTGTGGCCTGTAGTAAATCTTTTCTAGGTAGAGGTAGATATCTGGAGTATTATGAAAGAGAGGTACCTACCTATTCCTTCCCCCTTTCTCTCCCCCTTTCTCTCCTTTCTTCCTTCTCTTCCTCTTTCTTTCTTTCCTTCTTTCGCTCCTTGGTTTCATCCTTCTCTCTTTCCTTCATTCCCTCCCCCTTTCTTCCTTTGCCTCCTTTCTTCCCTCCATGTTTCCTTCCTTCTTTCACTTTTTTATTTGCTGTGGCCAACCTTCCCTCTTTCTCTCCTTCTTTCTTTCCTTCCTTCCTTCCTTCCTTCCTTCCTTCCTTCCTTCCTTCCTTCCTCTCCTTCCCATCTTTCCTTCTCCTCTTCCTTCTCTATCTCTTTCCTTCCTTCTCCCTTTTTCTTTCTCTTCTGCTGTCTCTCTTTTTTTCCTTCTCTCTTTCCTTCCCTCCCTCTTTCTCTACATCTTCCCCCTTCCTTCACTCCCTCTTTCCTTCCTTCATTCCCTTTTTTCTTTCCTCCTCTCCTTCCTTCTTTCCCCTTTTTCTTTCCCTCCCTCTTTCTCTCATTTCTTCCTTCTCTACCTCTTTCCTTCCTTCCCCCTTTTTCTTTCTCTTCTGCTGTCTCTCTTATCTTTCCTTCCATCTTTCCTTTCCTTTTTCCTTCTTTCTCTTACTTTCCTTCCTTCCTTCCCCCTTTTTCTTTACCTCCCTTTCTCTTTCTTCCTTCTTTCCTTCCTTCCGTCTTTCCTTCTCTTCTTCCTTCTCTATCTCTTTCCTTCCTCCCCCCTTTTTCTTTCTCTTCTGCTGTCTCTTTTTTTTTCTTCCTTCTCTCTTTCCTTCTTTCCTTCCCTCCCTTTCTCTACAGGAAGGGGGGGCGGGGCTTGGAGGGGAAGAAGAAGATATTTTTGGACAGGGCTTGGAGGGGGCGGGGCTTGGAGGGGAAGAAGAAGGAGGGGGAGGAGGTAAGATTGGAGAAGAAGGAGGAGGTAAGATTGGGGCGTGGTGTTGCGTGTGGGGCGGGGGAGTGAGGTGACGTGTTGTGGAATGATCGTGCTGGGCGGGGCGAGGGAGGAGGGTGCATTGGCCGTTTGGCCATGTGCGCGCGCATGACGGGGACTTTGCGCCATTGCGCATGCTCAGCTGTTTTGTCCTTTTGTGAGTGTGTTGTTGTGTTATTCAGTATTTTGATTTGATATGTTTGTACCTTGTGGGTTGAGGTATGTGCATGGGAATTTTGGTTAATTTTCGTTGGGGTTTTTTTGAGTTTTGCTGTCCCGTTGGACGCCCCTTACAGATTTATAGATATAGATTATTATTGGAGACCCTGTATTCAACAGATATCAAGATAACTGAAGCACCCCCATTTCCAGTTCTTGCTTCTTGGGTTTCTGAGACTCATTTCGGCAAAGCATCATCCACCACTCCATCTTGGTTCAGTGCTATATGTATTTCTTTCTCCAACCAGGAGCAGCAGTATGCCCACTGGATGGCGGGTTGCAGGTTGGCAGCGAAGGGCAAGACCATGGCAGACGCCTCGTACCCAACCGAGGTGGAGAACATCCTGTCCTTCCTGAAGCTCCAGCGGACCAACCCAGAGGCACCCCTCGCTCCGGAGGCCGAGGGGGCCCAGTGGCTTGTGTCCCCACGCTACCAGAAGAAGTTCAAACCAAAGCAGGTATATTTCAGGCTGCCTGAACACTTGGTATTGTCATGAATACTTTTTAAACAAAGGTTCTTTTTATTGCAATTTTAGTATTAGAGTGTATATCAGAACATTTACAATTTTAAAGAACAACATTGGACATACAAATGATAAAGGGTCTGGAGAACAAGCCCTATGAGGAGCGGCTTAAGGAGCTGGGCATGTTTAGCCTGAAGAAGAGAAGGCTGAGAGGGGATATGATAGCCATGTATAAATATGTGAGAGGAAGCCACAGGGAGGAGAGAGCAAGCTTGTTTTCTGCTTCCTTGGAGACTAGGACGCGGAACAATGGCTTCAAACTACAAGAAAGGAGATTCCATCTGAACATGAGGAAGAACTTCCTGACTGTGAGAGCCGTTCAGCAGTGGAACTCTCTGCCCTTGAGTGTGGTAGAGGCTCCTTCTTTGGAAGCTTTTAAACAGAGGCTGGATGGCCATCTATCAGGGGTGATTTGAATGCAATATTCCTGCTTCTTGGCAGAATGGGGTTGGACTGGATGGCCCATGAGGTCTCTTCCAACTCTTTGATTCTATGATTCTGTGTAACTTACATTGAGTCTACAAGCAACCTATAGTTACATTGGTTAACAAAGAAAGGGGAATTACATTTTACTCAGCATTCACATTACACATACACATTCATACATACATCACACACACACATTCATTCATCCTCAAAGGATGACCACCTCACCCGCCTCATAGGAAACCTGCTACAAAACAGGAGCTTTTTTGTTGAGTTCCAGGGCCAGAGAAGCAGATGGCAGAAACAGAAGAACGGCCTGCCTCAAGGAAGCGTGCTTGCTCCATCCATGTTCAACATTTACACAAATGACCAACCATTGCCAGAAGGGATAGAGAGTTTCATCTATGCTGATGATCATGCCATCACCGCTCAAGCAGGTTGAACAGTTGAACAGAAGCTCTCCGAAGCTCTAGGTGCTCTTATTGCCTATTACATGGAAAACCAGCTGATCCCTAATCCATCTAAAACAGACATGTGCCTTTCACCTTAAGAACAGACAAGCATCCCGAGCTCCGAGGATGCCCTGGGAAGGAATCCCACTGGAGCATTGCAGCACACCCAAATACCTGGGAGTCATTCTGGACCATGCACGAATATTTCATATGCCCAAATATGAACACAGATGGAGTTTGGGGGAAATAGACCTAGACATTTGGGAGTTGTAGTTACTGGGATTTATAGTTCATCTACAATCAAAGAGCATTTTGAACCTCACCAACAATAGAATTGGGCCAAACTTCCCCCACAGAACCCCCATGAACATCAGAAAATACTGCATTTTCTGGTGGTCTTTGGCAACCCTTCTGACACGCCCATGGGACCCAGACTGGGCCACAGCAACACGTGGCAGGGAACGGCTACTACTATATATGATAGGAACTAACATGGGTGTAATGCTGGGCAAGAACTTTGGGAGACTAGGCAGAGGAGGCCCTAGGTAATTTTCAACGGTAAGCAAACAGTATTTTGCCCCCCCCCCCCCCCCCAACCACCACCAATCACTGGTATATATTTTCTGTTTGTCGTGGGAGTTCTGTCTGCCATATTTGGTTCAATTCCATCATTGCTGGAGTTCAGAATGCTCTTTGATTGTAGGTGAACAATACATCCCAGTAACTACAACTCGCATATGTCAAGGTCAATTTCCCCCCAAAGCACCTCAAGAGCGCCCCTGGGCAAAATCAACTATACTGCAAATGCTTACTTTGCGTATGGGTTGAGCCGCCCCTGAGACTAAGGGCGCATCTAAACTGTAGAATAAATGCAGTTTGATATCACTAACTGCCATGGCTCATTGCTGTGGAATCCTGGGAAGTGATGGTTGCCTACCTGTAACCGTGTTTCTCTGAGTGGTCACCTTGAAATTTGCACATATTGGTATTTTCTGACTGTGCGTGCACAGAAAATACCATATGTGCGATTTCACAGGGACCACGATGAAGAATTGTAGTTTGGTGAGGCACCAGCTTTTTTGGGGGGGTCATTACAGTCTTTGGCTGGCTTCAAGATGGCGATGACTCTTGCTTTCCTCCAGATTTTGGGGATCTGACAGGATGCAGTGCAGTTGTTCATCAGCTCCAGCAGCCAGCGCCTTGCTTTGGGACCAAAGTTCTTGATTTGTTCCACCAGCACTCACCATTTACTAATCTCTCTATTTATAATATCCGTAGTTAACTCCACGTATCTTGGAGGCCTATCAGAATGTGGCCCAGCTCTCTCTCAATGATGCCAAAATGAAATTTATCCAAGCCTGGCAGTCGCTCCCGGATTTTGGAATCACTTACTTCGTAGTCAGGTAAGAAACTGTTTGTCCATCGAACCATGAGAACAGGATCTATTTCCTTACACTTTGCCCCCTTCCAATATGTGCCCCCCAACGCAGGAAAGTGTGTTGGACTACAACAACCACTGCCTGTAGCTGTACTAAAATCTCCCCAAGATGTTCCAAAAGATCTGGGAAGGATAAATCAGCCATAGCTTGCAGGTTCTCCCTCCTGGTCAGAAGTGGGCCAGGTTCATATGCAGAGTGTACCCATGGCTTTGCTGTCTTTCTGCAGATTCAAGGGCAGCCGGAAGGATGAAATCTTGGGCATTGCCAACAACCGCTTGATCCGCATCGACCTTGCCGTTGGGGATGTGGTGAAGACTTGGCGGTACAGCAACATGCGCCAGTGGAACGTCAACTGGGATATCCGACAGGTCAGTCATGGGAGCGGGTGGGGATTCTGAGAATTTGGGGATCTGAATCTGTATGCTTGTCCACTATGCCCTGCCTCATGTACAGAGGAAGAATTGTTGGAGGCTACAGTGCTGTTGTTGCCCATTTTTGGCCACCTGCGCTCCTTCTATTTTTATCAGTTTTATACTAATTTATTCAATGCTTTTGATACAAAATAAATAAACAAACAAACAAACAAACAACAGGGGAATTCCAGACAAGAACTCTACAAGAAAGGAGATTCTATCTGAACATGAGGAAGAACTTCCTGATTGTGAGAGCCAGGCCCGTAGCCAGGATTTCGTTTTGGGGGGGGGGGGGGGGGGGGCTGAGTCTGAGTGAAAGAGGGTCTAGCCTAGCAAACCTTTTGTATCATTACCCTAATATTATTTATTTATTTATTTGCTTTATTTCTATACCGCATTTTTCAGCCCTTAACAGGCGACTCATGCATATGGGATATATTGAGTATGGTGATCAGATCATGATATGAATAAACATAACAGTTTAAATAATGCACCAGTAAGGCCTTCTCGCGGACCACCATGAGAATTTGGGGGGGGGGGTGAAGCCCCTCAAGCCCCCCCCCTCCCCCGGCTACATGCCTGGTGAGAGCCGTTCAGCAGTGGAACTCTCTGCCCCGGAGTGTGGTGGAGGCTCCTACTTTGGAAGCTTTGAAACAGAGGCTGGATGGCCATCTGTCAGGGGTGCTTTGAATGCAATATTCCTGCTTCTTGGCAGAATGGGGGTTGGACTGGATGGCCCATGAGGTCTCTTCCAACTCTTTGCTTCTATGATCTTCTATATAAATAAGCCAAAAAACCCACACATTACAACACATGCACAAAATCACATATATACGCATATACACAAATATATAAACACACATCTATATAAATAAAAATGTAATGTTCGTTTGTGGGATTAACAGTACTCAAAAACCACTGGACAAATTGACACCAAGTTTGGACACAAGACACCTAACAACTCAATGTATGTCCTTTACTCAAAAAAACTGAGTTTGTTATTTGGGAGTTGCTGGGATTTATAGTTCACCTACAATCAAAGAGTGTGGTGGAGGCTCCTTCTTTGGAAGCTTTTAAACAGAGGCTGGATGGCCATCTGTCAGGGGTGCTTTGAATGCAATATTCCTGCTTCTGCCTAGGATTCTAGGAATCAGTCAGGGCTAGCTAACACCTCTTAACAAAGGATTCCCCTAGGCAGGAAGCAGCCAGACTCTGAAGCTGCAAGGCCATTCAATGCTGATCAAGGTGACCAATTGCAACATTCCCACTTGCCTCAAGCAGACAATAATAATAAAAATTTATTTATACCCCGCCACCATCTCCCCAAGGGACTTGGAGCGACTTACATGAGGCTAAGCCCAACAACACATCAATAAAAACAACAAGCAACAAGCAAATAAAACAATACAATTAATACATCTCAACATATAGACAATGACACGCAAGGGTTTAAAAACCTATGGCCAGGCCAGATGGAATAGTTTAAAATTTAAAAATAAACGCTGGGCATGAACAGAGGTAGGTAGGATACATCAGGATGAGGAAGGACTTCCTGACTGTGAGAGCAGTTCAGCAGTGGAACTCTCTGCCCCGGAGTGCAGGCTCCTTCTTTGGAAGCTTTTAAGCAGAGGCTGGATGGCCATCTGTCAGGGGGTGATTTGAATGCAATATTCCTGCTTCTTGGCAGAATGGGGTTGGACTGGATGGCCCAGGAGGTCTCTTCCATCTTTGATTCTATGATTCTATCTGGTAGGAAGGTTTTAAAAGAAATGTTGGTAGAACAACCCAACGAATAGTTAAAGTGCTCCTGAGGACATTTTGCAGGGAATTGTTTCCTTTATTCAGGGAACAGCCACGTTTTCAGGCTCCTCCTAAACACTGCCAATGTGGGGGCTTGCCTGATATCCTTGGGAAGTAAGTTCCAGAGTCGGGGGTCCTCTCCCTCGTCCCCACCAATCATGCCTGCGAAAGGGGCGGGAGCGAGAGACAAGAGTTCTTCCTCCCACCCTGGACACTCCACAAACCCCACTTGCCTCGTTTCCAACAGACCTCACAACTTCTGAGAATGCCTGCCATAGATGTGGGTTATTTATTTATCTATCTATCGTGTCATCAGCAACCAGACATTTGTATTACATTTTTAACAAAAACAAATAAACAAACAGACTAAACACAGAATTTGCAAGCTTGGTAGTTGATTAAATGTCCTTTGACCAGTATCTGGCCACTTGGAGTGCTTCCGGTGTTGCCGCAAGGAGGTCCTCCATTGTGCATGTGGCAGGGCTCAGGTTGCATTGCAGCAGGTGGTCAGTGGTTTGCTCTTCTCCGCACTCGCATGTCGTGGATTCCACTTTGTGGCCCCATTACTGAAGGTTGGCTCTGCATCTCATGGTGCCAGAGTGCAGTCTGTTCAGCGCCTTCCAAGTCACCCAGTTTTCCATGTGCCCAGGGGGGAGTCTCTCATTTGGTATCAGCCATTGATTGAGGTTCTGGGTTTGAGCCTGCCACTTTTGGACTCTCGCTTGCTGAGGCATTCCAGCGAGTGTCTCTGTAGATCTTAGAAAACTATTTCTTGATTTAAGTCGTTAACATGCTGGCTGATACCCAAACAAGGGATGAGCTGGAGATGTCTCTGTCTTGGTCCTTTCACTATTGGCTGCTACTTCCCGGCGGATGTCAGGTGGTGCAATACCGGCTAAGCAGTGTAATTTCTCCAGTGGTGTAGGGCGCAGACACCCCGTGATAATGCGGCATGTCTCATTAAGAGCCACATCTACTGTTTTACCGTGGTGAGATGTGTTCCACACTGGGCATGCATACTCAGCAGCAGAGTAGCACAGTTCAGGGGCAGATGTCTTCACTGTGTCTGGTTGTGATCCCCAGGTTGTGCCAGTCAACTTTCGTATGATATTGTTTCTAGCACCCACTTTTTGCTTGATGTTCAGGCAATGCTTCTTGTAGGTAAGAGCACGGTCCAGAGTGACTCCCAGGTATTTGGGTGTGTTGCAATGCTCCAGTGGGATTCCTTCCCAGGTCATCCTCAGAGCTTGGGATGATTGTCTGTTCTTAAGGTGAAAGGCACATGTCTGTGTTTTAGATGGGTTACGGATCAGCTGGTTTTCCCTGTAATAGGCAGTAAGAGCACCTAGAGCAGGGGTCCCCAAACTACGGCCCGCGGGCCACTTCCGGCCCACCAAGGGCACTTATCCGGCCCGCGGAGGAGGAGCGCCCCCCCCCCCCACACAGTGCCCCTCCCTTGGCTGGCTCACGCTATCCGTCAGCCCGATGGTGAGGCAGCCAAGGGCAGCTGCTCCGCGTGGCCTACTCGCGCGTAAAGCACCTCGCAAGGTACTTTACGCGTAAGTAGCCCGCGCGGGGCTGTTCCTCCCTTGGCAGGCTCACGCTGCCCATTGGGCCCGATGGGCAGCGTAAGCCAGCCAAGAGAGGCTGCCCCGGACAACGCCGGGAGAGGCGAGAGAGCCAAGAGAGGCTGCCTACGGACAACGCCGGCTCTTCGACTTCGAAATGCAGATGAGCACCACACCCCAGAGTCAGACACGACTGGACTTCATGTCAGAGGAAAACCTTCAACTAGGAAAATTGTGGGAGATCCAGGGTGGGAGAAAGAACTCTTGTCTGTTGGAGGTCGGTATGAATGTTTCAATTGGCCACCTTGATTACCATTTCATAGCCTGACAGTTTTTAGGGAGAATCCTTTGTTGAGAGGTGATTAGCTGGCCCTGATTGTTTCTTGTCTGGAGTTCCCCTGTGTTTGAGTGTTGTTCTTTATTTACATTTATAATTTTAGAGTTTTTTTTAATACTGGTAGCCAGATTTTGTTCAGACTAGAAATAGGAAGATTTCCCATTCTCTGCTCCTGGAATTACTGCCTAAAGAGGGCTAGAAAGAACCCCCTCTAAGGGCCCTTCCACACAGCAAAATCAGATATGAGCAATGTGCGTAGGAATTTTTTTATTGATTTTCTTTAAAAAAAAATATAGTCCGGCCCTCCAACGGTCTGAGGGACAGTGAACTGGCCCCTGGTTTAAAAAGTTCGAGGACCCCTGACCTAGAGCTTCTGTTCAACCATCTCAAAGCTCCCTGCTTGAGCGGTGATGGCACGATCATCAGCATAGATGAAACTCTGTCCCTTCTGGCAGTGGTTGGTCATTTGTGTAAATGTTGAACATGGATGGAGCAAGCACGCTCCCCTGAGGCAGGCCGTTCTTCTGTTTCTGCCATCTGCTTCTTTGGCCCTGGAACTCAACAAAAAAGCTCCTGTTTTGTAGCAGGTTTCCTATGAGGCAGGTGAGACGATAGATGTGGGTGAAACGTCAGGAGAGAATGCTTCTGGAACATAGCCAGACAGCCCAGAAAACTCACAGCAACCCACTTCTAGATGTTACTGCATCCCATTAGCTGTAGTCTAGTGATCAAACTTGGCCTGTGTGTGTGTGTTTTTCCCCAGGTGGCTATAGAGTTCGATGAACACATCAATGTGGCTTTCAGCTGCATTTCTGCTGGTTGCAAGATTGTGCATGAATACATCGGTGGGTACATCTTCCTGTCCACACGCTCAGTGGACAGAAGTCAAACCCTAGACGAGGAGCTCTTCCACAAGCTAACAGGCGGCCACGAAGCCCTCTGATCGTCTGCCACAAAGGCAAGTTTGTGCCCAGGAAGAGAGTTCCTCCCTTAAAGAACTGGTCACTTCTGGCATTTGGAGCAGCCAACAAACTTGCAGAGAGGAGCAAAGAAGGAATGTTGGCATGATTTTGGATGCACAAAAAATATATTTCCCAATATAGTCCTAATAAAAAAAGAAGAATGGAGTCCCTATGAAGGATGAAGGTGGAAACAGGCAAGCAGTCGTCATAATAGGGAAGGGAGGAATCTCTTTCTATTATGTCCTGGCATTACACATTATTTGCCCTTTCTTGGAGTCACTGCAACTCCTAACATCATTCCAAATCTTTTTTATAATATATATGAATTTTTATTAAGGGATTTTTCTGGGGGGGATGAGAGATAAAAATAAAAAAATAAAATACAATTTTTTTAAAAAAAAAAAGAAGGGAAAAATATTCCAGTTCTTGATCTCCTTTTCATCTTTTTCTGCACCATTTTTGATCCTGGCATAACGCATTATTTGCCCTTCCCACCGTCTTGGAATTATTGAAAATGCCAAAACTTGTCCCGATTCTCCTTTCAAGGCAAGCGGTTACACGATTGGGTTGTTGTAGGTTTCTTCTGGGCTATATGGCCGTGTTCTAGAGGCATTCTCTCCTGACGTTTCGCCTGCATCTATGGCAAGCATCCTCAGAGCTAGTGAGGTCTGTTGGAAGTAGGAAAATGGGTTTATATATCTGTGGAATGACCAGGGTGGGACAAAGGACTCTTGTCTGCTGGTGCTAGGTGTGAATGTTTCAACTGACCACCTTGATTAGCATTTAATGGCTTGGAAGTGCCTGGGGGGAATCTTTTGTTGAGAGTGATTTGATGTGCCTGATTGTCTGCTAGAGCTAGGTGTGAATGTTTCAACTAACCACCTTGATTTGCATATAATGGCCTGACAGTGCCTAGAGCAAACCTTTGTTGAGATGTGATTAGATGTCCTTGTTTGTTTCCTCTCTGTTGTTTTGCTGTTGTAATTTTTGAGTTTTTTAAATACTGGTAGCCAGATTTTGTTCATTTTCATGATCTCTTCCTTTCTGTTGAAATTGTCCTCATGCTTGTGGATTTCAATGACTTCTCTGTGTAGTCTGTGCACTCTCAACAAAAGATTCCCCCCAGGCACTTCCAAGCCATTAAATACTAATCAAGGTGGTCAGTTGAAACATTCACACCTAGCTCCAGCAGACAAGAGTCCTTTGTCTCACCCTGGTCATTCCACAGATATATAAACCCATTTTCCTACTTCCAACAGACCTCATTACCTCTGAGGATGCTTGCCATAGATGCAGGCGAAACGTCAGGAGAGAATGCCTCTAGAACATGGCCATATAGCCCGAAAAAACCTACAACAACCCAGTGATTCCGGCCATGAAAGCTTTCGACAATACATGGTTACACGATTGTTAATTGAGAGTAAACTGTATTTTATTATTATGGAATTTTATACTTTGAGGCAGGAGGTCTGTATTCCTTGCTTCTTGCTTTGTTGCCTGACGTGGGCGCTACAATTAAAAATATATATATTTGGAAATGTCTCCCTCTGTTTTGTTGTTTCCTACTGCAGGTTATCTGCATTTTACCTTTTGGTGACATAAGCAAGAGCACTCAGGATCACTGAAATGGGCTTGGCTTTTCAAAATCCCCATGGATTTTGTGGGACTGAGTGTTGGTTGTGGGATTGAGTGTTGTTATTGTTGTTGTTGCATTCCTGGGCAGCTCAGGTTTGCTGGGGCAAGTAGGGAATATAGCACAAACACACACCCAGTCTTGGTTTGTAGGCTTTCGACTCTCTGTTTTGAATAGAAAAACTGGTTTTCGATCTTTAAATCCTCATATTGTGTCAGCTTTTCCATTATTATTATTATTATTATTATTATTATTATTTGAAACACCCATGATGAGTCCACAGTAGACACTCTGCTGGCTGTTGTATTGGATCATATGTCGGACACTTCCCAAGTGTCTAGAACTGTGTGATATATAGGCGAATAATGCATGCAGATCCCAGTAGGGTGGCCTTTTGCAGCTGGCAGATGGTAATTTCTGTCAGTGCCAATTGTGTTTAAGTGCAGGCCAAGGTCTTTAGGCACTGCACTGTGTGCTGATCACCACTGGGACCACCTTGACTGGCTTTGTGCCAGAGTCTTTGCCGTTCAATCTTTAAATCCTCATATTTATTATTTATATTTTATATTATTATATTTATTATTTTATATTTATATTGTTATATCAATAATATTTATATTATTTTTTTAATTATAAAATAATATTTATTTTGTCTGTCAGCTTTTCCAGTTGTTTCTCTTCAATCCTGCTGTCACATGGGATTGCAACATTGACAATCCATACTTTGTTTTTTAACACGATGGTGAGGTCAGGAGTATTGTTGTTGTTGTTATTATTATTATTGTTGGAATTATTATTATTATTATTATTACTATTATTATTATTAGGATAGTTCTCTTGGGAGCCATAAAGATAGGTGAGCAATAAATGACATTATATTATGATATTATTTGATACACAACAAGATGAGACCACAGCAAACAAGATCACTCTGCTGGCTTTTGTACTGGACCACACAATGGACACGTCCCAAGTGTCTAGGACTGTGTGATGTATCAGAAAATAATGTGTGCAGATCTGAGAAGGATGGCCATTTGCAGCTGACAGTTGGTAATTTTGTCAGCGCCCACTGTTTTTAAGTGCAGGCCAAGGTCTTGAGGCACTGCACCTAGTCTGCTGATCACCACTGAGACCCCCTTGACTGGCTTGTGCCAGAGTCTTTGCAGTTCAATCGTGAAATCCTCATATCGTGTCAGCGTTTCCAGTTGCTTCTTGTTAATTCTGCTGTCGCCTGGGATTGCAACATTGACAAGCCATGCATGCTGGAAGAAGCAAAGACCACCAGCATTGAAGCGATGCTCCTACGCCATCAACTCCACTGATCTGAATGCCACGATGTCCGTATGCCCAAAGATCACCATGTTCCAAAGCAGTTACTATATTCCCAACTCAAGAATGGAAAACTGAATATTGGTGAACAGGAAGAGATTGAAAGAAGGGCTTAAAGACAACCTTTAAAGCTGTGACATAGACACCAAGAGAGAATTGGGAAGCCCTGGACCTTGAGCTTCAACTGGAGGTCAGCTGTGACCAGCAGTGCTGCAGAATCCGAAGAGGCACAAATGGAGGGCAAAAGAGAGAAATGCGCCAAAAGGAAGGCGCATCAAACCAACCTTGACTGGGACCACCTTCCACCTGGAAACCAATGTCCTTGCTGCAGGAGAACATGCGTATCAAGGCCCCAGGATCACCTACATATCCACCGCCAAGACACTACACTTGGAAGGCCATCATATTCAGACTACGAGGGATCACCTGAATAAGGACTGTATATACTCGAGTATAAGCCTAGTTTTTCAGCCCCCTTTTTAGGCTGAAAAATCTCCCCTCGGTTTATACTAGAGTCAAGATTATTTATTATTTTACAATGTTATTAGTATTATTTTATTACCTTTAGTATTTTACTCTATTTATTATTATTATTGCATTTATTATTTTTCTCTATTTATTATTGTTTATATTACATTCATTATTTTTCTCTATTATTGCATGTATTATTTTTCTCTATTTATTATTGTTTATATTACATTCATTATTTTTCTCTATTATTGCATTTATTATTTTTCTCTATTTATTATTGTTTATATTACATTCATTATTTTTCTCTATTATTGCATTTATTATTTTTCTCTATTTATTATTGTTTATATTACATTCATTATTTTTGTCTATTATTGCATTTATTATTTTTCTCTATTATTATTGTTTATATTACATTTATTATTTTTCTCTATTATTATTGCATTTGTTATTTTTCTCTATTTATTATTGTTTATATTACATTTATTATTTTTCTCTATTATTATTATTATTGCATTTATTATTTTTCTCTATTTATTATTGTTTATATTGCATTTATTATTTTTCTCTATTATTATTGCATTTGTTATTTTTCTCTATTATTATTGTTTATATTACATTTATTATTTTTCTCTATTATTATTGTTTATATTACATTTATTATTTTTCTCTATTATTATTATTATTATTGCATTTATTATTTTTCTCTATTATTGTTTATATTGCATTTATTATTTTTCTCTATTATTATTATTGCATTTATTATTTTTCTCTATTTATTATTGTTTATATTGCATTTATTATTTTTCTCTATTATTATTTTTATTCTTACATATATTATTTTACTCTCTTCATTATTATGGGCAGGATAGGTGAGCACATTTACATGGAAGAAGGCGAGAATCGTGGTTTAATCGGAGTTGGACAGTCTTAAATTACAGTTTTATGTAAATATCCAAAAGCATTTAACCTACTAAAGCCTCAATTAATGTAATTGTATTGGTATCTATTTTTATTTTGCATTTCCCACCCTCGGCTTATACTCGAGTCAATACATTTTCCCAGTTTATTGTGGTAAAATTAAATGCCTCGGCTTATATTCGGGTCGGCTTATACTCGGGTATATACGGTAAGTTATTTTTTGTTGAATATATTGTGGGAGGTGGGGAGGCATAATGCCGGTCTTCCAAAAACATTCAAGACTTTTTGGCTGACTGGGTAAGAAATAATAACAGTAGTAGTAAATAATAATAATAATAATAATAATAATAATAATAATAATAACAATAATAATAACAACAACAATATAATAATAATATATTATAGTAAGATAGAAGATCTTGGAGACAAGGGTAAAGCAGGAAATAATAACAGTAGTAGTAATAAATAATAATAATAGTAATAATAATAATTTTATTTATTTATTTATTATTTATAAATTAACTGAAGTTAACTAAGTTAACTGAAAGGTAAATTTTGCATATAGCTGTGGAGGGGAAAGGTCTTTCAATATGGAACTGGAAACAGTACACAGAGGGGAAAAAAAACATAAATCACATATAAATAGAGAGGGGCTTTTTTGTTTCTTTATTAAGTCATTTACCCCAAACCAGGAAACGAAGGGAGGTAGAGGACGATGGGCTCAGGCGATGGGCTCAAGAGGCAGAAGGATCCCTATGTGGAAAATAAAAGAGAAGATGGTGAAGAAGTGCAAGTTATTGTCAGAGTGTAGGACCTAAATAGCAATAGTAAATAACCACTCACAAGCCGGCTTGCTTTGAAATGGATATATTGCTTGTATCTCTGCAGCAAAGAAAGACACTACTGACATTTTCCTACCACCACTATCTTTTTATACACCTAAATAGCAATATTAAATAACCACTCACAAGCCGGCTTGCTTTGAAATGGATATATTGCTTGTATCTCTGCAGCAAAGAAAGACACTACTGACTTTTTTCCCACCATTACTTCCTTTTATTCACCTTTCCTGCCCATCTCCTCCTCTTCTCAGTTTCCTTATTAGAACTTGTTGCGAGCTGACTCCTCTATTGCGTCAGCTCCACTGGCTGCCAATTAACTTCGAGCACAATTCAAAGTGCTGGCGTTAACCTACAAGACCCTAAACGGTTCCGGCCCAGTTTACCTGTCCAAACGTATTCTCACCTATGAACCATCAAGTTTGTTAAGATCTTCTGGAGGGCCCCTGCTCTCGGTCCCGCCACATTCACAATCGCGTCTGGTGGGGACGAGAGACAGGGACTTCTCGGTGGTGGCCCCTCGGCTGTGGAACTCTCTCCTGCCCCTTCCCTCCTGACCTTCAGAAAGCTAGTGAAATCCTGGCTCTGGGACAAAGCATTCCCAGAACAATTTGGACGCGCACTAGTCCAAAAATGCGCAGAGAAGCAAATGGGGAAGAGACAAGATTGCAAAGTTAAGGTTAGGCTAAAACAGGAACTTACGATTAGGCCGAAGCTGGAGGGCTTCCTTGAAATAGCAGGGGAGCAGCAGCCCTTGGGCATCACCAGGAGTGAGGATGACTCCATTAGCCGAGCGGAAAAAGGGGATTCCATCTGAAAAATAATATATAGGATCACAAAAGCACAAAACCATGGTGTCAACTCAACTCTTGGAATGTCGTGTTCCTGGGATGACTCTCAAAAGCTTAATTTCCATTGGGGCCCCGGAAATTAAGAGTCCTGGGTTGCCATTTCCATCTGTAACAACTAAGCAGCAGGACATGGAATCCTAGAATTGGAAGAGACTCCCAAGGGTCATCCAATCCAACCCCCTTCTGCTGGGTAGGAAGACACCAGCAAAGCCCTCCCAACAGATGGACATCCAGAGTCGGAAGGCACCACCACAAGGGTCATCCAGTCCAACCCCCTTCTGCTGGGCAGGAAGACACCAGCAAAGCACTCCAAACAGATGGACATCCAGAGTCGGAAGGCACCACCACAAGGGCCATCCAGTCCAGCCCCCTTTTGTTGGGCAGGAAGACACCAGCAAAGCCCTCCCAACAGATGGACATCCAGAGTCAAAAGGCAGCACCCAAGGGCCATCCAGTCCAACTCCCTTCTGTTGGGCAGGAAGAAACCAGCAAAGCCCTCCCAAGAGATGGTCATCCAGTCTCTGGATAATAAACTCCTAGATTTGAAAAAGACTGCAAGAGCCATTCAGCCATTTTGGTCAGACAGAAAGACACAATCAAAGCCTTCCCGACAGATGGCCTTCCAGAGTCGGAAGGCACAACCACAAGGGCCTTCTAACCCAACCCCTATCTGCTGGGCAGGAAGACACCAGCAAAGCCCTCCCAACAGATGGCCATGCAGCCTCTGGATCATAGAATCCTAGAGTTGAAAGAGACTGCAAGGGCCATCCAATCCAACCCACTTTGGTCAGACAGAAAGTCATAATTTAAGCCTTCCTGACAGATGGCCATCCAGAGTCAGAAGGCACCACCACAAGGGCCATCCAATCCAGCCCCTTTCTGCTGAGCAGGAAGACACCAGAAAAGCCCTCCCAACAGACGGCCATCCAGAGTCGGAAGGCACCACCACAAGGGCCATCCAGTCCAACCCCCTTCTGCTGGGCAGGAAGACACCAGCAAAGCCCTCCCAACAGATGGTCATCCAGAGTCGGAAGACACCACCACAAGGGCCATCCAGTCCAACCCTCTTCTGTTGGGCAGGAAGACACCAGTAAAGCCCTCCCAACAGATGGCCATACAACCTTGGGATTCTAGAATCCTAGAGTTGAAAGAGACTGCAAGGGCCATCCAGTCCAACACGTTTTGGTCAGACAAAAAGTCACAATCAAAGCCTTCCTGACAGATGGCCATCCAGAGTCATAAGACAACACCACAAGGGCCATCCAGCACAACCCCCTGAATACTTCTGACTACAGCTCTCATCATACTTTGCCAATGGCAATGATGGCTAGAACTTTGGGGAGTTGAAGGCCAAAACATCTGAGAGCCATCTTGACATATGGAAAGAACATGGAGTAGTAAGATCCAGCTCACCTGCCACGGCCTTGTCAATATCGATTATTATGGCCAAGTCACAGTACTTCCTCATTCCTGTAAAGTAAAGGCCACAGAAAGATCATTGTCACGTACTCCCAAGTTTCTCTTTCTATCCGGCCCGCTTCCATTGTCCCAGTCAAATCACTAACATAATAATAATAATAATAATAATAATAATAATAATAATAATCTATACACATAACCAAAGTGAAAATATGTATGTGTGTTTGTGGCTGGGGTGTGCACTTACATAGACAAGCTCCCACTTTGGGGGGGGGGTTGATTTTGTTATTTGGGAGTTGTAGCTACTGGGATATATAGTTCACCTGCAATCAACGAGCACTCTGAACTCCACCAAAGATGGAATCGGACCAAATTTGGCACACAGAGCCCCCATGACCAGCAAAAAATACTGGAGGTCTTTGGGGAAAATTCACCTTAATTTGGGGGAGTTGTAGTTCACCTACATCCAGAGAGCACTGTGAATCCAAACTGATGGATCTGGACCAAATTTAGCATACATACCTGATATTCCCAAATTGGAATACTGGTGGGTTTGAAAGGGAGTTGTAGGTACTGGGATTTATAGTTCATGTGCAATCAAAGTGCGCTCTAAACCCCACCAAAAAGGGAATTGGACCAAAGTTGGCACACAGATCCCCCATGACCATCAAAAGTGCTAGAAAATTCCCCAAGATTTGGGGAGTTGTACTTCACCTACATCCAGAGAGCATTGTGAACCCAAAAGCCGATGAATCTGGATCAAACTTGGCATGCATACCAAGTATGCCCAAATTTGATTACTGAGGGGGTTTGGGAGGGATTGACCTTGAGTTTTGAGAGTTGTAGTCAGGCATTATTTATTTATTTATTTATTTATTTATTATTTGCACTTGTTAACCGCCACTCTCAGCCCGAGGGCGACTCGTGGCGGTGTACAGAACATAGAAAAGACAACAATTTACAATGCATCAAGACCATGACATAACATCTTACTAATACAACAACTAATTAAACTAAAAATCCGCATTCGTCTAGTTTGGGGTCATAATCAATCTCATAGTCATAGTACATTCCGGTGATCATTCCAAAAACGTAGCACTAGTTGAAGGCCTTTTCGAAGAGCCAGGTTTTCAGGCCCTTGCGGAAGGCCATGAGGGAAGGCGCCTGTCTGATTTCAGCGGGGAGGGAGTTCCACAGCCGGGGGCCACCACCGAGAAGGCCCGCTCTCTCGTCCCCGCCAGGCGTGCCTGTGAGGCAGGCGGGACCGAGAGAAGGGCCTCCCCAGATGATCTCAAGGTCCTCGTGGGCTCATAGGCCGAGATGCGGTCCGAAAGGTATTTTGGGCCGGAACCGTTTAGGGCTTTGTAGGCCAGCACCAGCACCTTAAATTGGGCCCGGTAGCAGATCGGCAGCCAGTGGAGCTGGAACAGCAAGGGCGTTGTGTGCTCCCTGCGTCCCGCTCCGGTTAGTAACATGGCTGCCGCGCGCTGGACTAGCTGAAGCTTCCGGGCCGTCTTCAAGGGCAGCCCCACGTAGAGAGCGTTGCAGTAGTCAAGCTGGGATGTGACCAGAGCGTGTACCACCGTGGCCAAGTCAGACTTCCCGAGATACGGGCGCAGCTGGCGCACGAGCCGGAGCTGTGCAAATGCTCCCCTGGTCACCGCTGAAACCTGGGGATCCAGGCTCAATGATGAATCCAGGGTCACACCCAAGCTGCGAACCTGCGCCTTCAAGGGGAGTGCGACCCCGTCCAGCACAGGCTGTAACCCTATACCCTGCTCGGCCTTGCGACTGACCAGGAGTACCTCTGTCTTGTCTGGATTTAATTTCAGTTTGTTCGCCCTCATCCAGACCGTCACAGCGGCCAGGCACCGGTTCAGGACTTCGACAGCCTCCTTAGTAGCAGGTGGGAAGGAGTGACAGAGTTGGACGTCATCTGCGTACAGATGACACCGCACCCCGAAACTCCGGATGATCTCACCCAGCGGCTTCATGTAGATATTAAACAGCATGGGGGACAGTATAGAGCCCTGTGGAACCCCACAGGTCAAAGGCTGTGGTGTTGAACAGGAGTCCCCCAATAACACCTTCTGGGTACGACCCTCCAGAAATGACTGGAGCCACCGCAAAGCGGTGCCCCCAAGGCCCATCTCTGCAAGGCGTCCCAGAAGAATACCGTGGTCGACGGTATCGAAGGCCGCTGAGAGATCCAGGAGCACCAACAGGGACACACTCCCCCTGTCTAGCTCCCGGCGGAGATCATCCACTAAGGCGACCAAGACCGTCTCGGTACCATGTCCCGGTCTGAAACCAGACTGTGCCGGATCCAGAATATCCGTGTCTCTCAAGAATACCTGGAGTTGTGAGGCCACCACGCTTTCCATGACTTTGCCCAAGAAGGGGAGATTGGAAACAGGCCGAAAGTTGTCAAATTTAGTGGGATCCAATGATGGTTTCTTCAACAGCGGCTTTATAATAGCCTGTTTTAGGCTCGCTGGAATCTTGCCTTCCCGAAGGGAGGCATTAACCACCACCGTTACCCACTCAGCCAATCCCCCTCTGGCCTCTTTCAGAAGCCAGGATGGGCAGGGGTCTAGGATGGACGTGGTAGGCCTCATTCCTCCAAGTATCTTGTCCACATCCTCGGGTTTCACAAGCTGAAAAGAATCCATCAAAATAGGACAAGCAGGTGCTTGTGTCACATCCACAGAGACTGCATTTAACGTGGCGTCCAGCTCAGAACGGATCAAAGCGACTTTGTCTGCAAAGAACCGAGCAAATGCTTCACAGCGCGTGGCCGAATTGTCAGGGCTCCCACCTGAGGTAGGGGGAGTTAAAAGACCTCTGACAATCCGAAACAACTCCGCCGGACGGTTTTTTGCAGACGCAATAGTGGCCGCAAAGAAAGTTTTCTTTGCGGCTTTTATTGCCGCGGCATATGCCCTTAGAAAGGACACAAACCGTGCTCGGTTTGGCTCGCTTGGGTCCGAGCGCCACACGCTCTCTAGTTCCCTCTTCCTTCGCTTCATCGCTGCCAGCTCCTCAGTGAACCAAGGAGCTGGTTTAGCTCGGTTACTTGAGAGGGGACGTTCCGGAGCGATCCTGTCAATTGCCCTGGTCATCTCCCCATTCCAGAGAGCGACCAAGGCCTCGACATGGTCACCTACCGAGGTAGCGGGGAAATCCCCAAGAGCCGTCAGGAATCCATTCGGATCCATAAGCCTCCTGGGGCGGACCATCTTAATGGGTCCTCCACCTTTGCGGAGGTTAGGGGGCGCAGTGAGCCTAAATCTGATCAGGAAGTGGTCGGTCCACGGCAACGGAGAGATGGACAACTCCTCCACACCGCCACCCTGCTCCCATCCCTGGCAGAAAACCAAGTCCAATGTGTGTCCAGCACAATGGGTGGGGCCAGTTATTTGTTGGGACAGCCCCATGGTTGCCATGGCAGACATGAAGTCCTGAGCCGCGCCTGGGGGGGGGGCTTGAGGCCCCCCTCCCCCCGAAATTCTCATGGTGGTTTGCGAAAAGGCCTTACTGGTGCATTATTTAAACTGTTATGTTTATTCATATCATGATCTGATCACCATACTCAATATATCCCATATGCATGGGGGTATTGGGGTAATGATACAAAAGGTTTGCTAGGGTAGACCCTCTTTCACTCAGACTCAGCCCCCCCCCCCGAAACTCAGCCCCCCCGAAACCCCCCTGAAAAAAATTCACACACCCCCCCGAATCGAAATCCTGGCTACGGGCCTGTTGTAGTTCACCTACATCCAGATAACACTGTGAACCCAAAAGCTGATGGATCTGGATCAAACTTGGCACAGGTACCTGAAATGCTCAAATTTGATTCCTGGAGGGGGTTTTTTTGGGGGGGGGGGGTTGACCTCAACTTTTGAGAGTTGTAGTTCACCTACAACCAGAGAAACTGTGACCCCCACCAAAAATGGACCTGACTCAAATTTGACACACAGAACCCCCATGACCAACTGAATATACTGGAGGGATTTGAAGGGAACAGACCTTGATTTCTGAGTGTTGTAGTTCATGTGCATCCAAAGACACTGTGACCACCATCAACAATAAACCAGGACCAAACTTGGCACACAGAACCCCCATGACCACATGGCACACATCCCTGATATGTTGAAATTTGATTACTGGAGGGGTTTGGGGGAAACTGACCTTCCTTTCTGGGAGTTGTAGTTAATCCATAATAATGTTTTTTTATTTTTATGTTTATATTTGGTTTGTTAATCTTATGGTTATGTTGTTTTCACCCTGTATGTTTTGTGATATTATTTGGGAACCGCTCTGAGTCCCCTCGGGGAGATGGAGCTGTATATAAATAAAGTTTTATTATTATTATATTATAATAATAGTAATAGATATGTGAGCAGCAAACCTCAGCCAAGTTACCCACATAATAATAATTTTTTCTGGGTCGGGTCAAGAGTGACTTGAGAAACTGCAAGTCGCTTCTGGTGTGAGAGAATAGGCTGTCTGCAAGGACGTTGCGCAGGGGACCCCTGGCTGTTTTGATGTTTTATCATCCTTGTGGGAGGCTTCTCTCATGTCCCCGCATGAGGAGCTGGAGCTGACAGAGGGAGCTCATCCGCCCTCGCCCTGGATTTGAACCTACGACCTGTCAAATTCATGTCCTGCCGGTGCAGGGGTTTAACTCACTGCGCTACTGGGAGCTCAATAATAGTAATAATAATAATAATTTAAACAGTTAAATGAGGGCTCACCATGCTGAACAGTTGTAAACAGGGTAAATTGGAGAAAACAGTCCTGCCGGCACAGGGGTTTAACCCACTGCGCCACCAGGAGCTCCATAATAATAATAATAATAATTATTATTATTATTATTATTATTATTATTATTATTTAAACAATTTAATGAGGGCTCACCATGGTGAGCAGTTGTAAAACAGGGTAAATTGGAGAAGACAGAATTGAATGGAATATCCTAGAGCGATGGATAGGAGCATCCCAAGATATAAGATTTTGTTACCGGTTCCAATAGTAGTGAATCTTACCTAGTAGGCTGGAAAAGAAGCCTGGATAACAGTGTGGCAATCCTCCATTTTGGGAGTGTTTGCCAGGGAAGCAGCCATCTTGAGTGAAGATAGCTTAGCTAGAAGATGGGGGGAGTTTGAAGTCTCCTGGGATTGGCTAGAGCAGATGGGAGGAGCCAAGTCTTAGGAGGGGAAAAAATTCAGCTTCTGATGAGAAGAGAGTTGGGAGCTGGTGGAAGAAGAAGTGTTTTTGGAAACTGGGTTTTTCAGAGAGAGAACGTCTGATTAGCTGACAGGAAAGGTCTGACAGCTACCTGATTTCTTGTGGGAGATAGCAAAAGGCATTAGCTCTTTAGACTGAGTTTAGCAGTAAGAACTCTGGGAGAGTTAGCCGATAACTCAGGGGACTACCTAGGTTAGGTCAGTCAGAAACTCATTGCTATTTCTCTGAAGTAGGGTGACGGATTTTTGTAACCAGCAGCTATATCTGTTTGATTAGCTCTGTATGTAATTAAGTGAAGAAACTCTTTTCAAGCAACCATCAAGCTATAGTTCACTTTTGTAACAAGTCAAGCGTTTTGTGCCTCTCAGAAGAAGACGTTAGTTGTCTGTTGTTTTTATAAATAAATCTTTTTCTATTTAACTTTCAAAAAGGTCTCTATCGTTCCTCAATCTATCAGTAATCCTTTGTGATAATTCCAGCCTCTTTAACATCCTAATACCACAGAAAGGTCTCTTATCCAAACGGTCATTTTGGGAGCTAAGGGAAGAGTTGTGTTGGCAGAAGGGGAAAAGTTTACCTCAGAAACTCATTTTAAAAATCCTAAGACAGCTTGGGTTGGTGGCAGCATTAAACCAAAAGAAAACTGAAGTGTTCACTCTACCATTACACATTCTATCTAACATCAACTCGCTATCATACTATTGTCCAGAAGTGTTATATTATTATTATTATTATTATTATTATTATTATTATCTGTATTTGTACCTCGCTAGCATCTCCCGAAGGACTCGATGCGGCTTACAAAGGCCAAGGCCTCAATAAAACAACAATACAAAAATACACATAAAACATAAAGCAAATCAAAACATTAAGTAATAACAGTAAACAATAAAAACAATACACTGTAGCACAATAAAACTAAGGCCGGGCCAAGTGTAGATGGATACAGATTAAAAGTGCTGAGTATGACAGTTGAAATATGAGGATTTTTGGGTAAGTACAATGTGCGGACAGTCTTAAATCTCTAGTAAAGTGCTTTTGGGACATGTTGCTGGGGTTTCCTATTCTGGAAAGGCACACTGGAACAGCCAAGTCTTCAAGCTCTTCCTAAAGACTGCCAATGTAGGGGCCTGTCTGATGTCCTTGGGGAGGGCGTTCCAGAGTCGGGGGGCTACCACAGAGAAGGCCCTGTCCCTCGTCCCCACCAACCACGCCTGCGACGCAGGTGGAATCGTGAGCAGGGCCTCTCCAGATGAACGAAGGGAGTGTGTGGGTTCGTAAACGGAGATAGGCAGGTTCCAAACCATTTAGGGCTTTGTAGGTGAGCACCTGCACCTTGAATTGGGAAATGAACGGCAGCCAATGGAGCTCCTTGAACAGGAGGGTTGACCTCTCTCTGTAAGGAGCACCGGTTAACATCCTGGCCTCCGCCCGTTGGACTAACTGAAATTTCCGAGCCGTTTTCAAGGGCAGCCCCATGTAGAGTGCATTACAGTAGTCCAATCTAGAGGTGACCAAGGCATGGACCACCCCGGCCAGATCAGCCTTTGCGAGGTATGGTCACAGTTGGGGCACGAGTCTCAATTGTGCGAAAGCCCTTCTGGACACCGCCAACGCCTGAGCTTCAAGTGTAAGAGATGAACCCAAGAGGACTCCCAAACTGTGGACCTGTGACTTCAGGTGGAGTGTAACCCTATACCCCAAACTGGTTTACGAGCGACCAGGAGGACCTCTGTCTTGTCGGGATTGATCTTCAGCTTGTTCCTCCTCATCCAGATAGCACTTCTCCAGCACTCAAGGGGCTTCCTTGGAATTAGGTGTAAATGAGTAGTAGAGTTATGTGTCATCTGCACAGAGATGGCACCTAACTCCAAAACTCCGGATGACCTCTCCCAGCGGTTTCATGTAGATGTTAAAAAGCATGGGAGACAAGATAGAGCCTTGCGCGACCCCACTTATAATCCTTTACAGTGGTGTTCAACTGTGGGATACTTGGTGTTAGATAACTACGCATTTCATTATATTGGTGGCATGCGGCGTGATATTTGGTGATATATTGATCCAGTAGATCGTGATCCTGTTACATACGCTTATACATTCGTACACATGATCACCAAGAAGGTCTGATTTTGCTATTTCACATAGCCAAAGGGAACATAGCAGACTCACCGCTCACGACTTCCCTACCCCCCGGCAAATCCGATGCCATATGGATGTGCGTCCGCTTCATCCGTGACAGGCCAAACCGGCGGATGATGGGCCAGTTACGCATGTAAGTGCCGTGGGCCACAATCTCTGGAAAATCGGATGGGTTCAGCAGTGGCTCCAGCTCCAATTCATTCACCTGATATAGTATGGCAGCAGGTTAGCGTGACATAGGTTATAGTGAGCGTCATGAACATATACAAGAGTGCTGCCAATGTCTTCCACAAACACCATACTGTCTAACACCCAAGTGAAGGCTTTCATGCAAAGACAATTTGTTCCTAGATCTCACGTGTTTCCACCACAGACATCCTAGTGCAGTGGTTCTCCACCTTCCTAATGCCGCGACCCCTTAGTACAGGTCCTCATGTTGTGGTGACCCCCAACCATAATATTATTTTCGTTGCTACTTCACAACTGTAATTTTGCTACTGTTATGAATGGTAATCTAAATATCTGATATGCAGGATGTATTTTCAGTCACTGGACCAAATTTGGCACAAATAACCAATACTCCCAAATCTGAATACTGGTGAGGTTGGGGGTGATTGATTTTGTCATTTGGTAATGCTGGAGTTTCTGGGATTTATAGTTCACCTAAAATCAAAGAGCCTTCTGAACTCCACCAATGATGGAACTGAGTCAAACTGGGCACACAGAATTCCCATGACCAAGAGAAAATACTGGGAAGGTCTGGTGGACATTGATCTTGAGTTTTGGAGTTGTAGTTCACCTACATCTAGAGAGCACTGTGGACTCAAACAATGATGGATCTGGACCAAACTTGGCACTGATACTCAACATGCCCAAATGTTGAACACTGGTGGAGTTTGGGGAAAATAGACCTTCACCTTTGGGAGTTGTAGTTGCTGGGATTTCTAGTTCACCTACAATCAAAGAATATTCTGAACTCCACCAACGATGGAATTGAGTCAAACTTGGCACATAGAACTCCCACGACCAACAGAAAATACTGGAAGGGTTTGGTGGACATTGACCTTGAGTTTTGGAGTTGTAGTTCACCTACATCTAGAGAGCACTGTGAACTCAAACAATGATGGATCTGGACCAAACTTGGCACTGATACTCAACATGCCCAAATGTTGAACACTGGTGGAGTTTGGGGAAAATAGACCTTGACATTTGGGAGTTGTAGTTGTTCTAAAGTTGAGATTTATAGTTCACCTACAATCAAAGAGCATACCAATGATTGAATTGGGCCAAACTTCTTACACAGAACCTCCATGACCAACAGAAAATACTGTGTTTTCTGATGGTCTTCGGCGACCCCTCTGACATCCCCTCGTGACCCCTCCAGGGGTCCCGACCCCCAGGTTGAGAAACACTGTCCTAGTGTTTCTTACTCTCACCGTTGATGTGGAGTTTGCATGATCCCGCCCACTGCCTCTCCCGTAACCCTTCCCTACACTGTTCAACTCTGTCTGCACTTTTAGTGCTATTCAAACTGGCACTTTAAGGCTCATATATTAATATAATATATTATAGTATTAATATATTACTGATGTGCTGTGGTAATGATATAATATATTGTATACACATATAATACTGATAATAATATTACAATGTAATACAATATAATACTACTAATAATAAAATATAAGAATTATATTTTTATATTACATGTAATATTACTAATAATATTACAGATAGTGGTATAGTACAATATAGTAATACATAATACTAATATGGTGATGTGAGAATAATATATTGTATACACATATATTATTGATAATAATATTACAATGTAATACTATATAATACTACTAATGATAAAATATAAAAAATATATTTTTATATTACATGTAATATTACTAATAATATTACAGATAGTGGTATCTATATAAATAAAAATGTAATATCCGTTTGTGGGATTAACAGAACTCAAAAACCACTGGACGAATTGACACCAAATTTGGACAGAAGACACCCAACACCCCAATGTATGTTCTTCATTGAAAAAAAATGATTTTGTCATTTGGGAGTTGTAGTTGCTGGGATTTATAGTTCACCTACAATCAAAGAACATTCTGAACCCCACCAACGATGGAATTGAACCAAATTTGGCACACAGTTCTCCCATGACCAACAAAAAATACTGGAAGGGTTTGATGGGCAGTGTCCTTTGGTTTTGGAGTTGTAGTTCACCTACATCCAGAGATCACTGTGGCCTCAAACAATGATGGATCTGGACCAAACGCTACAAGAATATGCCCAAATGTGAACACTGATGGAGTTTGGGGGAAATAGAATATTGACATTTGGGAGTTAGAGTTGCCGGGATTTATAGTTCACCTACAATCACAGAGTATTCTGAACCCCACCAACGAGAGAATTGGGCCAAACCTCCCACACAGAACCCCCATGCGGGCCACAGCAACGCGTGGCAGGGGACAGCTAGTATGTATATATATTATATTATATTATATTATATTATATTATATTATATTATATTTAAGACATTTATATGCCGCCCTTCTCACCCTGAAGGGGACTCAGAGCAGCTTACAAGTAAAAAGTAAATACAATATATTATATTATTACCATAGCACAATATTAATATTATATATTACATTGTACTATAACATTATACTGTAATATTATTAGTAATATTACATTTAATATAAAATATATAATTATAATATCATATTATTATTAGTAGTATTATATTGTATTGCATATAATATTATTAGCATAGTACAACATCAGGTCTAAACACTGCTATATTGTACCATACCAATTATATTGTAATATTATTAGTAATGTTACATGTAATATAAATATATAATTACAATATCATATTATTATTAGTATTATATTGCATTTCATTATAATATTATAAATATTATACGTATATAAAATATATTATATTATGTTATTAGAATATTATATTATATTATAGTCCTTGCTTGGCATCCATACTCTCCCACCTCCAGTGAGTGCCCTTGGTTGCAGCGGATCTGGAGGCGCCCGTGGACAGGACTTGGCCGCACGGCAAAGCGCTGCTTTTTGTTCGTCTCCACAACAAACTTGACGTCGTCCAAGCAATATGCCTTAAACTGGGGCAAGCGAAGGATCTCCGACACATCCGCAAAGCCATCTGCCATTTAGGAGGAACAAGAGGATCAATCAGGAACACCTTTGAATAAGCAGAAAGGTGGCTAAACTCTCTGGTGCTTTTAAGAAAGCCACACAATGTCACAGCGAGAGCTCCTCCTAATGGAACAAGTCCAATTTGGATGCAAGGAAAGGCTGAAAAAAAGGTAAATCCCCCTTTTTAAAAATCCCATTAGAAGGCAAAGGTTTTGGTTTTTTTTTGGCAGAGCAAATTGTTGAAGGCAATTTATGAGTTGTGCACAATTTATTATTTACTTATTTAGTGAAGTCCAGTCGTGTCCGACTGGGAGTTGGTGGTCATCTCCATTTCTAAGCCGAAGAGCCGGCGTTGTCCCTAGACACCTCCAAGGTCATGTGGCCAGCATGACTGCAAGGAGTGCAGTTACTTTCCCACCAGAGCGGTACCTATTGATCTACTCACATTTGCATGTTTTCGAACTGCATCTCTGGCAAGCATCCTCAGAGGTAGTGAGGTGTTTTGGAACTAGGAAAAAGGGTTTATATATCTGTGGAATGACCAGGGTGAGACAAAGGACTCTTGTCTGCTGGAGCTAGGAGTGAATGTTTCAATTGACCACCTTGATTAGCATTTGATGGCTTGGTAGTGCCTGGAGGAATCTTTTGTTGAGAGGTGATTAGATGTCCTTGTTTGTTTCCTCTCTGTTGTTGTGCTTTTGTATTTTTAGAGTTTAATGTATTGAGGAAGGCTTTCATGACTGGAATCACTAGGTTCTTGTGGGTTTTTTCGGGCTATAGGGCCATGTTCAAGAGGCATTTTTCCTGACGTTTCGCCTGCATCTATGGCAAGCATCCTCAGAGGTAGTGAGGTCTGTTGGAAATAGGAAAATGGGTTTACATATCTGTGGAATGACTGGGGTGGGGCAAAAAGCACTTCTCTGCTGAAGCTAGGTGTGAATGTTTCAGCTGACCACCATTAGCATTTGAAGGCCTGGCTGAGCCTGGGAAAATGTTTTGTTGAGAGGTGTTAAGATGTGCCTGGTTGTTTCCTCTCTGCTGTTTTGTTGTAGTAATTTTAGAGTTTTTTTAATACTGGTAGCCAGATTTTGTTCATTTTCATGGTTTCCTCCTTTCTGTTGAAATTGTCCACATGCTTATGGATTTCAATGGTTTCCCTGTGTCGTCTGACATGGTGGTTGTGAGAGTGGTCCAGTATTTCTGTGTTTGGGTGGATGCTGTTAAGATGGCCCAGGAACCCTGGTCTTTCCACAGAAATACAAACCTATTTTCCTAGTTCCAACAGACCTCACTACCTCTGAGGATGCTTGCCATAGATGCAGGCGAAACATCAGGAGTGAATGCCTCTAGACCATGGCCATATAGCCCGAAAAAAACCTACAACAACCCAGTGATTCCGGCCATGAAAGCCTTTGACAATACAGTCAACATTTTCGTTGGCAAGATTTTACAGCAGCTGTGCTAAAGCAGGTTAACGGCCAGCTGTGTCATGGCTAACAATAACAACCCAACAATTTGCTCTGCAAATAACTTCTGAAATAAGCTCTTGCCTTCTGAGGAGATCCATAAGACGATTGTCCCCGCAGAAGCCCACTGGGCTCATGAAAATAGGTACAAGGGGGACAGGATTTCCTTTGAAGAGGAGCCTCCTGCTGCTCCATCAAGCTGATCAACACATTGAGAAGTTGCCTTGTTTTGGCAGTATTGGAAAAGGAAAAAGAAAAGAAGACATACTCACCCGCTCCCAGGGTTAATCCCAACTTTTCTGCACCATGACGCAAAACATAAGCGAGGGCTTTGGACAGGAGAATAACGGGATCCTGAAAGAAGGTTTTGAGATAAAAGGTGAGTATTGAAATGTAGTCGTGTGCTTCCCAGCAGGACATCTAAACTCCCATTCTTAACTATTCAGGTTTTGAAACTGGTGTTTTTTAATTGTGCCAGAAGTGACTTGAAAAACTGCAAGTCTCTTCTGGTATGAGAGAATTGGCTGTCTGTAGAGACATTGCCCAGGGGACGCCTGTGAGAGGCTTCTCTCATATCCCCGCATGGGAAGCTGGGGCTGACAGACGGGAGTTCACCTCGTCATGCAGATTCATACCACCAACTTTCAGGTCAGCAGTTCAACTGTTGGTCAACAGGTCAACTGCTTTCGGGTCAGCAGTTCAGACAGCACAGCCCATTGTGCCACCACAGCTCTGAAACTGGTATGGTGGCCAATGACTCTGGAGACCCACGTTGAAATCCTCACTCAGACATGGAATCCAGCTGGGTGATCTTGGGCAAGTGACATTATTATTATTATTATTATTATTGGTCCGGTGAATGAAAATACATCCTGAATATCAGATATTTACATGACGATTCATAACAGGAGTAGCAACGAAAATAATGTTATAATTATAAATAGTAACAATATAAAATAATTGTAGTCATATAATCTTATGTTATTATTCCCTCAACGTTGCTGTCCTAGGAATACACCCCCATTGTATGAAGGTCCGTTTATTTCCCTGTCTCTCTATGAGTTCTCCCTTACAAATAATTCTGCTCCTTAGGTTCTTGTTGGTTTTTTCGGGCTATAGGGCCATGTTCTAGAGGCATTTCTCCTGACGTTTCGCCTGCAGAGGTAGTGAGGTCTGTTGGAATTAGGACAATCCTCAGAGGTAGTGAGGTCTGTTGGAATTAGGACAATGGGTTTATATATCTGTGGAATGGCTGGGGTGGGGCAAAGAGCTCTTCTCTGCTGGAGCCAGGTGTGAATGTTTCAACTGACCACCTTCATTAGCATTTGAAGGCCTGGCTGAGCCTGGGAAAATCGTTTGTTGAGAGGTGTTAAGATGTGCCTGGTTGTTTCCTCTCTGCTGTTTTGCTGTTGTAATTTTAGAGTTTTTTAATACTGGTAGCCAGATTTTGTTCATTTTCATGGTCTCTTCGTTATTCCCAGGCTCAGCCAGGCCTTCAAATGCTAATGAAGGTGGTCAGTTGAAACATTCACACCCAGCTCCAGCAGAGAAGAGCTCTTAGCCCCACCCCAGTCATTCCACAGATATATAAACCCATCTTCCTAATTCCAACAGACCTCACTACCTCTGGAGATGCTTGCCATAGATGCAGGCGAAACGTCAGGAGAAATGCCTCTAGAATATGGCCCTATAGCCCGAAAAAACCCACCAGAACCTAACAATATAAAATAATTGTAGTCATATAATCTTATGTTATTATTCCCTCAACGTTGCTGTCCTAGGAATACACCCCCATTGTATGAAGGTCCGTTTATTTCCCTGTCTCTCTATGAGTTCTCCCTTAGAAATAATTCATTTTGTGTACATGCGGCCCGCTCACTGTCATTATGTTTGGCTTACTGTTTTTGTTTGTTTTCTTTAAATATTTTGTGTATATTGTTTATATGCTTATATGTTTTATATTTTAATGCTATGTTTATTTTATGGTAATTTGTATATTATTTTATTGGAATTTGTTGTTTGGGCTTGGCCTCATGTAAGCCGCCCCGAGTCCCCGTTGGGGGAGATGGTGGCGGGGTATAAATAAAGATGATGATGATGATGATGATTATTACTATTATATCATAGCGTTATTAAAATAATAATAAATAATCCAATAATCCAGGTATTATCATCCTTCCTCTCTACCTTAGAATTATAAATAGGAATATAATAATCATCTATATAAATAAAAATGTAATGTTCGTTTGTGGGATTAACATAACTCAAAAACCACTGGACGAATTGACACCAAATTTGGACACTACACCCCTAACAGACCAATGAGTGACCATCACTCATAAACCCCTCCCAAAATATAGCAGAAAGGACTGAAATGTCCCAAAAAGCTAAATGATGATACAGCGCATGTGCAAAAATGACAGCATCCCCTAGACCAGGCTCTTTAGGGGAGGAGGATGCTCCAAATGCACTGCTTCCAATAACACTATGATATTATTATTTTATATTGTTACTATTTAATTAATTTTAATCAATTTGTCTTCTGGACTACTACATGTTGCCTGCCCATTATACTGCCTGTGCTTATTTTTTTATTTTTCATATTGTTATGTATTCATGTGTTTTATTTAATTGTGATGTTATTGTTTATTGTTCACGTTTTCGGTTTGTGTTTTTGGTTTTCTTTATTGTAATTGTCATTTGGGCTTGGCCTCATGTAAGCTGCTCCGAGTCCCCATTGGGGAGATGGTGGCGGGGTAACAAATAAAGATTATTATTATTATTATTAATAATAATAATAATAACATTATTTTCGTTGCTTATAGTAAAATAATGTTCCACCACAAAATGTTCTTTTAAAAAATATTTTTATTGTTTTATCATAGTTATTACATTTGTTATACATTTGTTTATAGCAGTTACATATTATTCAACACACTCTTTAACATATAATCTTATTATTCTGCTTAAGCATTTCCCCCCCTTTTTTCCCACCACTGTGCTCCCCTCCCCCCATCTCAAGCCACAACTTTTACATATCGTCTGTCCAAAATTTCATTTCTTCTTGTGACGGTAACTTTCCTTCTTTGTTTTTTAAACCATTTACAACAAATTTACCCCATACAACATCAAAATCGCTTTGTTTCCATATACCTTTTTTAACTTTTAATATACATGTCAGCTTATCATTTATTGCTAATTTCCATGCTTCCTTGTACCACTCCTCTATTTGTATATTTATTTCTTTTTTCCAGTTCCTTGCTATGAGCAGTCTTGCTATTGTTAATAAGTTTGTTATCGCTTCTTTATCCTCCTTTTTCAATTGTTTGTTGTTATATAATGATAATAAAGCTGTACTAGGACTTTTCTCAATTTCAATCCGAATCTGCCTATCTAAAATCATAGAATCATAGAATCAAAGAGTTGGAAGAGACCTCATGGGCCATCCAGTCCAACCCCCTGCCAAGAAGCAGGAATATTGCATTCAAATCACCCCTGACAGATGGCCATCCAGCCTCTGCTTAAAAGCTTCCAAAGAAGGAGCCTCCACCACACTCCGGGGCAGAGAGTTCCACTGCTGAACGGCTCTCACAGTCAGGAAGTTCTTCCTCATGTTCAGATGGAATCTCCTCTCTTGTACTTTGAAGCCATTGTTCCGCGTCCTAGTCTCCAGGGAAGCAGAAAACAAGCTTGCTCCCTCCTCCCTGTGGCTTCCTCTCACATTATTTATACATGGCTATCATATCCCTCTCAGCCTTCTCTTCTTCAGACTAAACATGCCCAGCTCTTTAAGCCACTCCTCATAGGGCTTGTTCTCCAGCCCTTGATCATTTTTGTCGCCCTCCTATGGTCACATTCTAGCTTGTCAACATCTCCCTTCATTTGTGGTGCCCAGAATTGGACACAATATTCCAGATGTGGTCTAACCAAAGCAGAATAGAGGGGTAGCATTACTTCCTTAGATCTAGACACTAGGCTCCTATTGATGCAGGCCAAAATCCCATTGGCTTTTTTTGCCGCCACTTTCTCCCAAAAATTATTTACATATTTACATTGCCACCACATATGTATGTATGTTCCTGGTTCTTGACACCCTCTCCAACAATTTTTTGAATTATTTTTATTTATATATGCTATTCTTACTGGTGTCAGATACCACTTCCATATTAGCTTATAATAATTTTCTTTAACCCGTATTGATAATTTTTTTAAATGTCTTTGTCCCCATAATTGTTGCCACTCTGTTTCGTTTATTTTTATCCCTAAATCTTCTTCCCAAACCTCTTTAAGGATGTTATTTTTTGTATTTCCTTCCTTTATTTCAATTATTATCTTATATATTTTACTAGTTATTCCTCTCAAATTTTCATGCTCTTCTACAACCCTTCCCTTCTGTATTATTTGTTCAAACCTGTATTAAGGGGTCATCACAATATGGGCAAGTCACACTCTCTCAGCCTCAGAGGAAGCAAAGGCACTAACAGATCTTTCCAAGCAAAGAAAACCCACCAGTACTTTGTGTACAAAGTACTGTACACAACAATCACTGCCCTCCCCAGGTCAAAAACCAGTTTTTTTTCTATTCAAAACATTGAGTTGAAAGCATACCAACCAAGACTGGGTGTGTGTTTGTGCTATATTTCCCACTTGCCCCAGCAAACCTGAGCTTCCCAGGAATGGAAAGGTCTGTCTGCACATCAAATGCAGGCCCCAGGCAAGAGAGGAGTTGGCAGAAGGGGTTCCTCACCTGATCTCTGAACCTCATTCTTCTCTTTCTTGGTTTCTTTTTGGCTCTCAGTGCTTTCCAGGCTTCTAGGTCTTTCTGAGCCTGGGATTTTTCCCCAGCTTGAGATTTTTCCCCAGCCTGGGCTCCTTCCTCAGCCTGGGCTCCTTCCTCAGCCTGGGCTCCTTCCTCAGCCTGGGCTCCTTCCTCTTCCATTTCTCCAGCCTGGGCTCCTTCCTCTTCCATTTCTCCAGCCTGGGCTCCTTCCTCTTCTCCTTCCTCAGCCTGGGCTCCTTTCTCTTCCATTTCCCCAGCCTGGGCTCCTTCCTCTTCCATCCTGCACAGAAGCAAAGAAGGGACCTAGTGATCAATCCAAACTCTGATTGCTCCTCCTCCCTTCCGGAAGTGCCACCCCTTCCACTGCCAACAGGAAAAAGGATGAGCCGCAAAGGCTTCTGGGAGTTGCAGTTCTACTGCCCCCTTTATTTGCATGAGAATAAATGGAGCTTGACCTCACTTTACCTGCTATAGAATCCTTGCAGTTTGGTGAGACGCCAGCCCTCTTTGGCAGAAAAGGCTTTGGAAAGCCAGTCCCCCATTATTCCATTGCACTGAGCTCAAGGGTCATGGAAAGTGGTGTCAAACTGCATTAATTCTACAGTGTAGATGCATCATAAAGTACACTTTCAACAGGATGTTAGACCTCACAACCTCTGAGGATGCCGGCCGTAGATGCAGGCGAAATGTCAGGAGAGAATGCTTCAGGAACATGGCCATATACCTCCAACCTACTCTCCCAATTTTCCTCCACCTAGAATCATAGAATCCTAGAGTTGGAAGAGACCTCATGGGCCAACCAGTCCAACCCCATTCGGCCAAGAAGCAGGAAAATTGCATTCAAAGCAGGGGCGGCTCAACCATTATACAAAGTAAGCATTTGCAGTATACTGGAACGGTTTTGTGGGCATTGACATTGAGTTTTGGAATTATAGTTCGCCTGCATCCACAGAGCACTGTGGACTCAAACAATGAAGGGTCTGAACCAAACTTGCACAAATACTCAATATGCCCACATATGACCACTGGTGGAGTTTGAGGGAAATCGACATTTGGGAGTTGTAGTTGCTGTGATTTATAGTTCACCTACACTCAAAGAGATGTTCAAGCTGGGTTTAGAAAAGGCAGAGGAACGAGAGACCAAATTGCCAATATCCGCTGGATAATGGAGAAAGGCAGGGAGTTTCAGAAAAACATCTACTTCTGCTTCATTGACTATTCTAAAGCCTTTGACTGTGTGGATCATAATAAATTGTGGCAAGTTCTTGGTGGGATGGGCATCCCAAGCCCCCTTGTCTCTCTCCTGAGGAATCTGTACAAGGACCAAGTAGCAACCGTCAGAACTGACCACGGAACAACAGACTGGTTCAAGATTGGGAAAGGCGTACGGCAAGGCTGCATACTCTCACCCAACCTTTTTAACTTGTATGCAGAACACATCATGCGATGTGCGGGGCTTGATGAATGCAAAGCTGGGGTGAAAATTGTTGGAAGAAACATTAACAACCTCAGATATGCAGATGACACCACTCTGATGGCCGAAAGCGAGGAGGAGCTGAGGAGCCTTCTAATCAAGGTGAAAGAAGAAAGCGCAAAAGCCGGGTTGCAGCTAAACATCAAAAAAACCAAGATTATGGCAACAAGAATGATTGACAACTGGAAAATAGAGGGAGAAAATGTGGAGGCCGTGACAGACTTTGTATTTCTAGGCACAAAGATGACTGCAGATGCAGACTGTGGCCAGGAAATCAGAAGACGCTTCCTTCTTGGGAGGAGAGCAATGTCCAGTCTTGATAAAATAGTAAAGAGTAGAGACATCAGACTGGCAACAAAGATCCATTGCCTAGTCAAAGCCATGGTATTCCCTGTAGTCACCTACGGATGTGAGAGCTGGACCTTAGGGAAGGCTGAGCGAAGGAAGAGCGATGCTTTTGAGCTGTGGTGTTGGAGGAAAGTTCTGAGAGTGCCTTGGACTGCGAGAAGATCCAACCAGTCCATCCTCCAGGAAATAAAGCCCGACTGCTCATTGTAGGGAAGGATACTAGAGACAAAGTTGAAGTACTTTGGCCACATCATGAGGAGACAGCAAAGCCTAGAGCAGACAATTATGCTGGGGAAAGCGGAAGGCAAAAGGAAGAGGGGCCGACCAAGGGCAAGATGGATGGATGGCATCCTTGAAGTGACTGGACTGACCTTGAAGGAGCCGGGGGTGGTGACGGCCGACAGGGAGCTCTGGCGTGGGCTGGTCCATGAGGTCACGAAGAGTCGGAGACGACTGAACGAATGAACAACATAAAATAACATAAAATAACAAAAATAAAATAAAACAACATAACATAACAAACATAAAATAAAATAAAATAAATGTTCGTTTGTGGGATTAACAGAACTCAAAAACCACTGGACGAATTGACACCAAATTTGGACACCAGACATCTAACAACCCAATGTATGTCCTTCACTCAAAAAATATGATTTTGTCATTTGGGAGTTGTAGTTGCTGGGATTTATAATTCACCTACAATCAAAGAGCATTCTGAACCCCACGAACGATGGAATTGAACCAAACTTGGCACACAGTTCTCCCATGATCAACAGAAAATACTGGATGGGTTTGGTGGGCATTGATCTTGAGTTTGGGAGTTGTAGTTCACCTACATCCAAGGAGCACTGTGCACTCAAACAATGATGGATCTGGACCAAACTCTACACAAATACTCAATATGCCCAAATGTGAACACTGGTGGAGTTTGAGGAAATAGAATACTGACAGCCATGTATAAATATGTGAGAGGAAGCCACAGGGAGGAGGGAGCAAGCTTGTTTTCTGCTTCCTTGGAGACTAGGACGCGGAACAATGGCTTCAAACTACAAGAGAGGAGATTCCATCTGAACACGAGGAAGAACTTCCTGTGAGAGCTGTTCAGCAGTGGAACTCTCTGCCCCGGAGTGTGGTGGAGGCTCCTTCTTTAGAAGCTTTTAAACAGAGGCTGGATGGCCATCTGTCAGGGGTGATTTGAATGCAATATTCCTGCTTCTTGGCAGGGGGTTGGACTGGATGACCCATGAGGTCTCTTCCAACTCTTTGATTCTATGATTCTATGACATTTGGGGGTTGTAGTTGCTGGGATTTATAGTTCACCTACAATCAAAGAGCATTCTGAACTCGACCAACAATAGAATTGAACCAAATTTGGCACACACAACTCTCATGACCAACAGAAAATACTGGAAGGCTCTAGTGGGCATTGACCTTGAGTTTGAGAGTTGTAGTTCACCCACATCCAAAGATCACTGTGGACTCAAAAATTCAATATGCCCAAATGTGAAAATAGAATCTTGACATTTGGGAGTTGTAATTGCTGGGAGTTATAGTTCGCTTACAATCATAGAGCAATCACAGAACATTCTGAACCCCACCAACGAATGAATTGGGTCAAACCTCCCACACAGAACTCACATGTGGGCCACAGCAATGCATGGCAGGGGACGGCTAGTGCTATATAGAATCCTTGTAGTTTGGTAGAAAAGGCTTTGTAAAACCAATCTCTCATTATTCCATAGCATTGAGCCCAAGGGTCATGGAAAGTGGCGTCAAACTGCATTCATTCTACAGTATAGATCAGGGGTCCTCAAACCAAGGCCCGAGGGCTGGATACGGCCCTCCATGGTCATTTACCCGGCCCTCGCCCAGGGTCAACCTAAGTCTGAAACAACTTGAAAGCACACAACCACAACAACAGCCATAAGCAAGCCCACACTTCCCATGGAAGTACTAATAAGTTTATATTTGTTAAAATTGTTCTTCATTTTAATTCTTGTATTGTTTTTAAGTGTTTTTACACTACAAATAAGATATGTGCACTGTGCATAGGAATTCATTCATTTTTTTTTTCAAATTATAATCGGGCCTCCAACAGTTTGTGGGACTGTGACCTGGCCCTCTGTTTAGAAAGTTTGAGGACCCTTTTCTCGTAGTTTGAAGCCATTGTTCCGTGTCCTAAACTCCAGGACAGCAGAAAACAAGCTTGCTCCCTCCTCCCTGTGACTTCCTCTCACATATTTATACATGGCCATCATGTCTCCTCTCAGCCTTCTTTTCTTCAGGCTAAACATGCCCAGCTCTTTAAGCCGCTCCTTATAGAGCTTGTTCTCCAGACCCTTGCTCCCTCCTCCCTGTGGCTTCCTCTCACATATTTATACATGGCCATCATGTCTCCTCTCAGCCTTCTCTTCTTCAGGCTAAACATGCCCAGCTCTTTAAGCCGCTCCTCATAGGGCTTGTTCTCCAGACCCTTGATCATTTTAGTCGCCCTCCTCTGGACACTTTCCTGATCAATTCCTGTTTGCTGAGTTCCGTAGAGTAGAAAGGGCTATGGGAGAGACAGTGGGTGGGGTCATGCAAATTCCACACCAATGGAGAGAGTAAAGAACACTGAGATGTCTGTGATGGAGGAAAAACAGAAAATCTACAATGATATTATCCATGTCTGAAAGCCTTCATCTGGGTGGTGGGCAGTGTTGTGTTTGTGGAGGACCTTGGCAGGGCTCTTGGACATGTTCATGGCGCTCGCCATAACCTACAATGGCATTGGAGGGAGGGCCATTGGTGTCTCCTGAGTAGTGTTTGTGGAAGCAGGAGCTTGTTTGTGTAAGTGGACATTCCAGTCATATAGACACATGCATATTTTCACTTTTATTATGTGTGCAATAGAAGATACCTTTTCCAATGTTCTTGGGAGAGTTTAATGCATGGGAATAAAATATAATGTACCGTATATACTCGAGTATAAGCCGACTCGAATATAAGCCGAGGCACCTAATTTTACCACAAAAAACTGGGAAAACATATTGACTCGAGTATAAGCTGAGGGTGGGAAATGCAGCCACTACAGGTAAATTTCAAAATTAAAATAGATACCAATAAAATTACATTAATTGAGGCATCAGGAGGTGAAATGTTCTTGCATATTTACATAAAACTGTAATTTGAGATAAGATTGCCCAACTCTGATTAAATCATTACATATCTTCACTGTAAATGTACTTATGTATCCTTCCAACAATAATAAAGAGAGTAAAATAATAAATATAATAATAATATTAATTATAATAAAGTAAAATAATGGAAATGCAATAATAACAGTAATAATAGAGTAGAATAATGTAATAATAGAGTAAAATAATAAATGCAATAATAATAAAGTAAAATAATAAATGTAATAATAATTGTTCTGTTGTGCGCTGGGCCTGTAAAGAATTTCCTTTAGAACAGGACATGCAACCTCTGCCCAGCGGGAATCCAGGGGGCCCAAAGAGAAGCTCTCAGGGATCTTCCACCACAAATAGTCTT